CGCGAAGTCGAGCACTTTACGGTAGCACAGTTTAACGAGGACCAATACCGCACACCCTCGGTCCCTACGCAGACTGATCCAAGTGGTCACCCACCCACACACTGACAGTAGCCAGTGATGCTTGACTTCGGTGATCTGCTGGGAACCGTGTCTTAACGATCAGTCCACTGCGGGACCCGTCAGTAAGTAATTACAGACACAAAAACCACGGTGACAAGGGTACCAACTGGACAAACAGGTTCGTCCACTTTTGCGTATTTACAAAGATTTTCTAAACACAACTCAACTCGTATCCTTGCTTTTACAAATCTCGAAATCTGTGCGGTTGGGAGACACGTTGTTAATGGGATTTGTTTTATTTGTTTAAAATTGGTACGTAATAATAAAATTAGTTTGATAAATTAACGTTAAAATGGAAGGTGCTCAGAAGGAGGCAATTAATAGTGTCCAAGTGTTCGGAAGAAAAGTAAGTTATTTTACGATGACATCGTGTAAATGAGATCTGTATGTAAGCCTAGTCAGAAAATTGTGTATCTTCTAAAAGATTGGATTTGCATTTTTTTTTTATATATTTGCTGAATTTTTTTGCTATAACTTGTTTAAATAACTCTGTGGAATAATTGTGTGTAACATATTTATATTGAGTGACGATTTCTTTCAAACAAGTTCAATTTTGAATATGATTGCCTCTTGCTTTAGATTCTTGATTGTTTTTAAGAGTTAAAACATGATTTTAAGCATATATCTTGCTTTCCGAAAATTGTATGTTTTTTCTGCTATGTATTTTGATTTTTACCACTGTGCTGTTAAACCCATTTAGTATAAATCACACTGTATTTGCAATTTACTCTTTGCTCGCTGTATTTCACTCATTTTACTCTTTGAATTTATATTAAATTACGCCTTATGTAATTTGATTTCATCCTTATTTCACAAATCTTAAAGCAGCTCCATTTTTGAAGAATCAAATATTTGTTTTTATTGTCCTTATACCATGGTTATGTACTGTGTTTGGAGAGAAACAAGTTTAACACGTCATATTAGGTTAAATCTTATGAGTTTCCACCACTTGTGATTTTCGGTATGGTATAAAGGTTCTTTAGCAAAAAAAGCAGTCAAGAATTTTTTAGCTTATGTTCACAAACAATTGTCTTTTGCATATGTGCTAATACTTAAAACATTTTTCTAAGTTATCAATATTCTCCTATCAGAATGATTAGAACACTATTATACATAATTCTCAGCTTTGTGAGATATATTTCTTTATTCATACTTAGCCAAAATTGATCTCGAAGTATTGGTAGCATTGCCATCATCGCATGGCCAAACACAGTCTTATTTTAAGGGCGTTATCTTTTAATTGCCCTGGAAGATATACTGCTTAATTTTGATCCTGGTCTTAACCTCTCCATATTTCTACTGCGCAACTTAAGCATGTACCTTAAGCCACAACAGATTTATTGCGCCACTTGTTACAAATACAGTAGAGAACCGATTATCCGGAACGATCGGGACTATCGCTATTCCGGATAATTGATTTTTCCGGTTTTCTGAATCGCTACAAAAAGCCGTTTTTTTAGTGTTAAACCCAACTAAAAAAAAAAAAATATTTGAAAATAATCTAAAAAATAAGAAAAAACGATGAGGTAATACACTAATGATTATTTCTGAAATGATGGTAAGGTAAACATCTTTCAAAAAAGAAAGAAAAATCCTATGAGGAAAAAAAATTTTTTTTTAAAAAATTGCGGGAAAATTTATCTAATTTCGTTCCGGTTTTTTGGTTTTCCGGTTTTCTGATTTCCGGATAACGGGTTCTGTACTGTACATGTTGGTTGTTTTATTAGCCGTTGTGATTGCCGTAGAATGAAGCCTTGTGCCATTGTATTGGTTCTCTTAATTATGCTGTGGTTAGAACAAGAAAAGCTGCTTTTAAAGCAAATGTGGACCTGAAATTATGTCATTAAAATTATCATTTTATCTATAAAATTAGTGCTCTAAGAAAATTTAATGAAACATAATTTATTTACATTATTTTACTGAATAGTTATTATACGTAAAATGCATATCTTAATTTTCAACAATAAACTGTACAATATCAAAAAAACCAATAAAGGCAGACTATTTTCGACAAAAGCTAGGCTGTTTTGGAGAAGATTTCTGTATCGTTGACCACTTCTTGCAACAGCCTGTGAAAAAAAGAAACATAACTTAGAAAACCTCTTCAGGCTTTTTAATTTTTCGCGTTTAAAATCAATTCGGCACCTTGGCGATTGTAGTTAGTGTGATTGATTATAATATGGAAATGTCTCCCATTTTTGCAATCCTGAGAGCTAAATATTAGAACTTATTTTAATTTCTATTTGTTTACATTATATGCCATTTTTGAAATATCTCCTTATAACTAAGTGTGTAGTAGTTTAGTCACTTGTAAGCTAAATAATATTTATGGGAGAATATTTCAGTTGTTAATTCTCAAATTTTTCAGAAAACTGCAACTGCAGTTGCCTATTGTAAAACTGGAAATGGCCTCTTAAAAGTAAATGGCCGACCTATTGAACTTCTAGAGCCTCAAGTAATGAAATACAAAGTAAGTGTTCTTTTTTGCTCATTTTTATATAGTTCGTAAAGTAGTAGATTATATTTGATTAAAATATTGCGTGTTAAAAAATGGAGGTGACTGTAAAAGTGTGTTATGAAATGTTATTTTATTTATTAATTTTTTATATATTTCAGCTCTTAGAACCAGTTTTGCTACTTGGTAAAGAAAGATTTTCTGGAGTTGATATCAGGGTTCGAGTAAAAGGTGGTGGTCATGTCTCTCAAATATATGGTATGTATTTTTTTTTATTTATTGGTTTTCCAAGTATGGGAACTAGGTATTTAAAGGAATAAGATCATAGAATCTTTATAGTTATTAAGAAGTATTAATTTTACTTATTAACATCTATAACAGTCAATCAATTTATAGTATTCTATGAGGGTTTATACTATTCAGGGGTATTCTGGAGGTATCTTGGAATTCCGGGTTTTTCATATTATCCTTCCATGTGAAAAAACTAAGACCATGCAAGGTGCGTAGCGTTTGTAAAAAGTACTTAAAGGTGCTTTTGTTGGGGATTTAGTTTTTAAAAGCTTTTAAAGATACTTTTTTCAGCTGGCGTTTTTAAAAAGTGCTTCTTTTTCTGAATAATTTTTTCTCTCCCTGCAGTGATATCTGGTGGATCGCATGCATTTCACGAAAAATGGAGAGTTTGCTACGTAATCATTTACTGTACTGTTACATTTACTAGATAAATACCTGTACTTATAAGCTTTCCAATCACATGTTTGGAGTAGAGAGCGGTGCAGGAACATTAATTCTATTTTTTCATATATTATAAAATGCGTTAGTTACATTTTATGAATGAAAATATTGTACATTGTTTTGTTAATTATTAGCAACTAAATTTTCTAATGAACATGCATTATTTAATGTCTAGTTAGTAAATTTTATTTAAGGTTTTAAGAGCTCAGGTTTGTATTTTTATAATAATTTATGTAAATTTAGAATACATAGTTTTGGCAAGCAAAGCCATTTTTTGCAATTTTGATTTTTAGTATGAGTTGAATAAGGTTGCTTTCAATTTCATTTCATACTTAAATGTATCTAATCAGTTATAATTAAATGTTCCTATTTTAACTATTATGAATATTTTCAGCCATTCGTCAAGCTATCTCAAAGGCATTGGTTGCATACTACCAAAAATGTGAGTATTATTTGAATAAGTTCTAAACTTTATATCATTTTAGATTTATTTTGAATGTGTATGGTTTAAGATTTATTAATCTTTATTTTATTTCATAATAAGGTAAATGATAGCCTGAAAGATTTGTAATTTGTTAGGATTTTATTGTTATATTTGATAGGATTTTATTGTTATATTTGATAAATGGTTAAAACCATTAATCAAAACCGTATTGATTATTTATCCTTCTATAAAGTATCTAATTAGTATTCTTTCAAATTATTATATTAACTGTTTTTTTTTTAATATAATGAAAAAAAAATTTATATTTAATATATTTTTATAAGGGAAGAAAAAAATTTCCTCAAAACTATTTTCTGCTTGTATTTTGTGCACATTTTGCTTTACATTACACAGTGCGTATCGTTTTTACAAATTGCTTAAATGTGCTTATTTTCGACTTTTGTTTTTTAAAGCCCTTAAAGGTACTTTTTGTATTGGGTGTTTTTAAAAAATGCTCGATTTTCCTTTTTCAAAGATGAGACTTTTTTTTCCTTACCTTGTCGATTTTCGTCCCGTATTATGCAATAACATGCTTTTCATATTGTTCAATTCAACATTTTCACGATTCATTCAACCACAATCTATTTCGCTGTCCCGTCTGTGCGTAGCATATGAAAATGCCAATCATTTTACATGCTTGATGAAATTCTTGAAAATCCCTGCTTGTCTACTGAGCTGGGGGTTTTGATGAGATTCTTGCACTACGTGCAACTCTGATGTATTTTGCAATATTTTCTCAATTTCAGGCTTCATTTTTCACCGTCTGATATTGAACCGAAAAAAACTCTTCATCTTTTTATAATGGCTAATATAATCAAGAAAAGAGTTCTTAGTCAGATACTAGTTATTTTATCATGATCATATAAAGTCTTTGAAAATTATTTTGCATTTTGTTGATGTATATAGTGCTTAAAAATATTTTTTGAGTGCTTAGAAAGTACTTAAAAAGTGCTTATTTTTTGTTGATTGATTTGGCTATGCACCCTGCATTATTATATCATGATGATCTCTAAAGGATGATTTAAGATGATTAGATTTTTAATACCTCTAAGAAGATCTGAGCTTTGTATTTTGTTTAAATCTTGCTATACCTTGATTATGCCATGATGATCTCAAAAGAATGATTCGAACTGATTAAATTATTAATTCCTCTAAGAAGATCTGAGCTATATTATTTTAGATTGTTGTATAACAAGTTCAATACAGTAAGATATTTTTTCTTTTCTGCCTCTTTTTCTTCCAGACTGATACTACTACTTTAGCAGAGGTTCCATTTTGCTCTGACAAATTAAATTATAAATTTCTAATAGTCTCTGAATTCTTGGTTTAAGAAGTTAAATATTATGTCCGCGACTACGTATAAATAACTTGAACAGGGTTGCCAATCCACAGGGAAAACCTGGAAAATACAGGGAATTTGGATTTTTTCTTTACAAACTGGGAAAATACAGGGAATTTTGTTTCTATCTTTTGTCTTTTAAAAAATGGTGACTACTCAAAGCGTAATCTATAGGATATTTAACCATGATATTTCAGCTATACTAAACTATTTCATTTACTATAGTATTATTTAAGTATGTTCAGCTATTTTTCTAACAATTAAGACTAATATATATAGTTAGCAATATATATAGTTAGCCCACTATAGCTCAGTAATTGTTGTTTCCTCTTAATATATCGCTTATAATATGTACAGGGAAAACACAGGGAATTTTTTTTTTCAGATTTGAGTGGCAACCCTGTTGAAAATTAGTGTCCCATTATTCTGTGGTGAGCATTTTAATGAGTGTTCAATGTAATGTTAGCAAGTTTTCAATTTTTAATATTCTATTACTTTATAAAATCTTATGAAGATGTGCCATTGTTAGCATCCTAACTTTACTAAGGATACTCATATTTAGTCTTGCAATGATGATCTTTAATGAATGATATATAATGATTCAATTATTAACCCCTCTAAGAAGATCTGAGCTGTTTTTGTTGACCATATATGCTGTGATTTAACGGAGCGAATTTGTAGATCTAGTTCATACTCATCACCTAAAACTCAATGTTCTTATAGTTTTAATTTTAAATTTTTTGAGAATGAAATCATGAAAATTTTACTCTAGGAATTAGTTGTGGGAGAGGTTTGGGAAAAGTTTGTAAATATGGGGAAAGTACTTGTCAGTCACTTTTTACTCTTGTATTTTTGTCCTATTTTCTGCTCTGAGTCTCTAATCTTCTGCATTTTGATAATATGCATTACAATTTTGTATTTTTTTTTAAACTAATTATGGGTACTTGAATAAAGGTATCTTCTTTGTTCAAATGATGACATCTTGAGTTTTCACTTGATCTTTTTGAGCTGTTTGTGTTTAAACACTTTAAGGAATATAAATTGAAAACTAATTTCTTTTGTAATTTCATTGTTAGTAAATCTTCTGCATTTTTTTGGCAGGTATGTTTATCTTGCCTTTATTGCATTTTTATACAGTTATTTATGCCCAATACTTTATTTTGATGTGATAAGCTTCCAAAAAACCTGTTGTGTTTATTCTAATGATGAGGTTGCCTAAAGGACAATAAATAATAGCGAAGCTTTATTATTTATGTTGGTATATAAATTTCAGATTTGTGCCGTAACTTCTTACAGTACCAATTTTTTTCCCTCACCGTTAAGAAGCTTCAATGATATAAGTGTTAATTTATATGCTCAAAATTTCATTTTAATAGAACTAAGCTGCTCTGAAAATAAAAAAAGACTTAATTTTTTTCTGCTCCAATATAATTTTGTTGCTGTTTTATCCCTGAAAAGATAAAGATTCGGAAATAATTTAATTCCAGTATTGTTCTTTTCTCTCTGTTAAGCTTGGGATCACCTTTCTTTAAACTAAAGTTGATTTTTGCTGTGATGATCTTTATAAAATGGTTTGAAATGATTAAATTTTTAAAACCTCTTAAAAAGATCAGGACTATTGTTTCATGTATGTAATTATATGAAGTTTCTCTATTAATGGAAATCATTGTCAAAGTTAAGGCAGTAATTGTAAACCAATTTACCTGTATTCAATGCTTACAAATACAAAATTAATTATCTTAAGCTTGCACACGATTCTGATTGCCAGCATTGCTTTTAGTGTTTATTCTAAGGGATAAAAGATTGTTTTCACCTGGTTCCTTTAAAACTTTCATTCATTTAAATTCGTTATGTGATTTGTTTTTGTCAATTCAGATTTTTAAAAAAAAAAAGTGTTTTAGGTCTACATTATCGTTATATCCTTTGAGGTGTATTTGGTGTATCCTTGCCTATTTCATTAATTTTGTTTTATAAATTATGATATAAGTGAGGTGGTTTATAATTTTGTTTGAAATAAGGAATACTTTTGTGTAGCACATGATGATCTCTGCTATATGAATATATGATTTAATTACTAATTCCTCTAAGAAGATCTGATTTCAGCTGCCAACTTGGTTTGAATTTTTTTAGTTTTAACCAGTTATAATGAACAGCTGATAATAATTTTTAACACCTCTTTCTGTTGCTGTTTATATTTGAAAGAAAAAATATCATAATTTTATGTTATATCTTTGTATCACATATTGAAAGTTTTAGCCCAAGCATTGGTAGCACTTTATTAGTAATTGACCTACTGTTTGGACATGTATAGTTTCTGAGCTGTAATAATTCTGTGCTATCCATTATGTCTGATATCAAGAATCATGCTCATTGCTGAAAAAATTTTGTTATCAGTAGAATGATAGTAAATGAGATGTCTTTGAAACCTGTAATTAAAGAATTCTTAGTCTATGGATGACTTGTCTGTAGCAAAATTTAATTATAATTAATGATTATGAATTTTAATTTTCATAAATGGTGTACTTGAAATTTCACTGAATAGCCACAAAATAAAAAATAAATTTTTCGTTGTGGCTTTCTTATTTAGAGAAAATGTTGCTTGGTTTAAATATTACGATATTAATGAGCTTGGTTTCAATATTACACTAAATAAAAATAAGTATTTTCCTTGTGTACTCTTACTTTACTAAATTGTAATTTTCTTAACTTTTAATCTGTTTATTTTTTTAGATATTGATGAAGCTTCAAAGAAGGAAATTAAAGACATTTTGATCCAATATGATAGGTCATTGTTGGTCGCTGATCCTAGACGGTGCGAACCAAAGAAATTCGGTGGACCTGGTGCTCGAGCCCGCTACCAGAAATCTTACCGTTAATTTTTTTCAATATTAATAAAGAACAGAAAAATTGCTTTTGTGTTATTCTTTGTTACTTTATTTAAACAACTGTATTCCATAATAATCGAAAATGATATCTTGGTATAGGACTCAAATTCTATCAGGGTTCTTGCTGTCCTAAAATGTGCTAAAATTTCCCCCCAACTTTTTTAGGGCCTAAAAAGTGCTAAAATTTCTTCTGAGTGCTAAAAAAGTGCTAAATATTTTTTATTTTGGCGTTTTGAATTTTTTTTTTTTTTTGAGCGGTCGGATTCCTTAAATCGGTTTTCCTAAATCCTTAAATTCTGTTGCCTTCGGCTCTTCTGCTGCCTCCATCTTTTTAGAAGATTCTTGGGCTTTGGGGAAAGAAGTTCTTTCTTCTGAGATTTTATGGGCTTTAAAAGTTGTAGAAAGTTACTACTCCTACAATTCTTCCAAAGACACTGGAAGATTATTTAGTACAATGTTTCCCGACAGTTCAATAGCACGTCATTTCGCCTGCAGTGAATCTAAGTGTGCATATCTCTGTCATTTTGGACTTGCACCTCATTTTAGCATGCTACTTCTGAAGTGCATTGATAATGCCAAGTTTTATACATTGCTTTTTGATGAGTCTTTGAACAAAGCGACACAGCAGAAGCCGTTGGATATACATATCCACTTTTGGAACCCAGGTAAGAACATTGTAGAGACGCGATACTTAACATCAGCTTTTCTGGGCCATTCTGCAGCAGATGACCTTTTAGCCTGCTTTTATTCATCAGTCAAAAATATAGACCTGAAGAAATTATTGCAGATTTCTATGGACGGTCCTGCTGTCAATTGGAAGTTTTATAATAATATTCAAGAAGATTTGTTAAAAGAACATGGTGTTCAATGCAATGCAATGGGAAGTTGTGAGCTTCATATTTTAAATAATGCATTCTACAAGGTGAATCTGAAACAGAATGGCTCATTGGTTCCCATCCTGAGCTCAATCTTCTATCTTTTTAAAGATTCACCCACAAGGAAAAAAAATTTTATTAATCAATCAACTGAGAACAAATTACCAGAATTTATAGAAAACTTAAATTCTCTAGAGAAACCGTGCCATTTTAATTTTTGTGATGAAAAGAATTGTCTCTGACAAAAATCAGTGTAGGTTTTAAAGGTGATAGCTGTTAGCCTCAAAAGTTATTTCTGACCGGGATCATATACACATAGCTGCCAACTCTACTGGATTTTCCAGTAAACTACTGGATTAGGCTAGTTTCTCCTGGTCTACTGGTTTAATTAAAATTCTCCTGGTCTTTGTACATTTTAGAAAATTCCCTAAAATTGAGTAAATTTCCTAAAAAAAAATCCTTATTGAAATAGAATTTTTGTACATATTATAGCCTGCTTGAATATTTAAATAAATATTTAAGATGCATAATGATGCGAACTTCATTTATAAAGATAAGTTCAAAACTTTTTTTTTCTTCAAAAATGTTCATTTTATTTTTATTTAGAACTCTCTTTTTAAATTAATTAAAAAAATCTCTTTACTATCCTTGATGAATTAAATGCCTAATAATATTCAAAATTATGAGTAAACATAGTACATAAGATTTCAAGTATGTTTAATGTCAATCATAACTGGAAAATATTGCAGTTTTACTTTTTTGATGACTATAAAAGTCCCTAAAATTCTGTGTGTGTAAAAAATTTAATACATTATGCAACAATTATCGTAAAATTTATATTTCGTAAAATCTACTGGATTTTTTCCTATCCGTGTTGGCAGCTATGTATACATATAAAGAAAGATTGCAGAAAGTTTTTCACCAAAATGTTAGAAACTTTACTGGAGATATGTCCAATAAACTATTCTGTTGTAAGAAATGTTGCTTGCATCAATCCAAAATTAATGTCAGAAAACAAAAGCAAGTGTGTTCTAAAAATGAGAAACATATTAAATTACTTAAGTCAAAAAAAGAAAATTGAGGAAAAAGATTGTGACGAAATTAAGCCGCAATTTGCATCATGTATAGATTAATTATGTAATTTTTACTTCATGAATCGTTAAACACTTTATTTGTACATTTTTAATATCACATATAGCTAAAGTATGTTATTTTTACTTTCCATCAAGTGCTAATTTTTTTCTTTCTTAGTCCTAAAAAAGTCCTAATTTTTTTTTGAAATAATTGAGCAGGAACCCTGTCTATTATAAACTAGTCTACTCTAGTTATAATAGTACTGCAAAAATTCTGTAACATCATGGTAATTTTTGACTATCAAGAGTAAAGTATCTTGGTCAATAGAATTATGCCAAATGATTGTTTTTGCATGTCTCTACAATTTTGTTCGAGTTAACAATGTTGATCATGATGATTTATTTAGTTTTATATTTCAAAAAGAAAAACTAGTGACATTGATAAACTGAAAAAGTTGCCCAAGCACAAAATATTTATTTTCAACACGACTTAGCTTAGGGAGAAAAAAAAATTAGAAACAGACTAATGCAAACTAGAATTTTTAAAAAAACGCAAAATTTTATATTTGAGTGTTATTTTTTGTCTTTTCTAAATATTGATTTGATAAAAACAAATTTCTCTTTATTGTATGGAAATTGCTGTTTCAAAGTTTCTCATTTTCACCAATTTTTTTCCATCACTGTCTGCACCTTGCATTCTATGCCAAACTATTTTCTAGGGTTAGATGCTTCTTCCATCCGATGAATACTTTAAAATCCACTTAGTATTTTCGAAATTGATAGGTTTTGCATTATAAATGAATGTTACGCGTTTAAGTTGAAATGAGAACCTTGTGCGATAAATCTCAATTTTCTTAAAAATGTCGGTTTTTCGTATGTATTAAACATAATCAAAATCTTAACACGATGTTAAAAATATGACTTGTTTCAGACAAAGAATTCTTGATTATATATTTGCCACCATAAAAACAATGCAGAATTTCAAATATATTCATTAGTCAGGGGTCTCCAGAGTAAATTTAATACCATTTAGTGGTACCTTCATAAAATTCTTCAAAAAAAAAAAGCTAGTTTTCCTTGCAATGTATGGAGTGAGCTTTTCTTCCAACTGTCTACTAGAAATTAACTAGTGTTTGGGTATGCTTAACTGCTCGTTTATGCCACATAATGCAAAAAAAAATTTCCACTGATTTTTTTTTTTATAAATTTCCGCAGGGGTGATTGTGCTCTGGATTTCCGGAATTTTCGCTAACAGTGATCTGGAAGTTTCAAAATATCATTTATCACAGAAGTTTCCGGAAATCAAATTTTCAAAGGTGGAACTTAACACAGTTTANAAATTTTGCCGGAAATCGAAATTCGAACATTTTCTTAAACTCAATTGTTAATTTATTCTAATACTTTTAGTACTGTTAAATTCATGATTTTATTAAACTGCGGACAATGATTATTATGAAATTTTAAAATTAGGATACTTTTTTAAGCGTAAAATTATTTTTGAATATATGGGGAAAATGTATAGAAATTTTCATACTAAATTATTTCTAGTGGCTATTTTTGAAAATATCTTCTTAATTTTCACAAAATAGGTACCTTTTAAAAAAATTGTCAGAATATAAATTATTCGAGACGGTAGAATCGCTTTTATATGCATAGTAAAAAAATGCAGACGAAACAGACTTGCTAAGAAAATTATAAATTATTCCTTTTTATTACTAAAAAAATTAATTTCTTTCAGAAACGGTAGTAATACCCATCACGAAAGCGTTAACTACTTTTTCGGATTATTATTTTAAAATTGTAAATAAGAAGGAGCTCATCAACACTTCTGAGATGCTTGCGCTCTAAGTGTGAAATTCAAAATGATAAGCGTACTTATGTTTGACAAATTGATAGCAATCAACATGATTAAGTCTATATATGAAAGAAACCGACATAGTTGAACGCTATTTTGTTCCCTATTAGCAGAGATTGCCGTGCTGATGCAAATTATACTTTGGTAGAAACAAATCAGTTACATTGGCAATGGGCTAAAGACGAGAGGCTTTCATGACTCTTACCTTTTTTTTGCGCTAATGCTGATTTGTTCACTTAAAAGAATTGTTGAAAGTGAATGTGACTTACTTGGTTCATAAAAAAGCTGTTTATTTACTGAGTGAATTTGTGTACAAGGGCGGAAATTCGTGAAGTGATAACCTAAATTGTGAAAAACGAGAACCGTATAACTAATCGTGAATGCATAGTTTACCACGATTGAAAAAAAAAAGAAACCCAAACTGTTTTATTATTACTTACAAATTGTAAATAATTTGAATTTCAACAATTATATCTTGATAATTTTTGTATTGAAACTAATATAAATACTTTTATTAAATTTCAGAAATAGCTTTAGTTGTAACAGAATGATGCAGCATATTGAACACAATCAGTGCTACTTAAAAGAATATTTTTTTAAGAAAAAAAAAAAACCGAATTATCACCAATTAAAGCGATTCATACTGGTGAGCTAGTTACTCCTGAATCGCTTTCCGGACTGACAAAATTTGAGTAACTAATAATGCTTCGTTTTAAATAACATAAAAAGTATTCAAAATAACTTAAATAAATTACAAAGTCAGCAGAACTGACAAAATTTGATACCAGTTTGTTTGAAATTAAGATTGGTTAAATTTTATTCTATGAATATAAGTAAATAGATGTATATGTATTTGATCAAAAACAAACAAATTATTCAACAAAATTCTATTCCATGAAAAACATTAAAAATTGTCCGAGAAAACCAGCGAATGTTATGCACAAAAATTATTAAAAGTTCCTTTTTAAAAAAGAATCAAATAAATTGACCCCAAAAATTTTGTGAAATTTGCCTTCACAAACTTACTAAAAACATTAAGATTGAGCAAAAAGGAAGAACATGTTAACAAGAGCTCATTTACTGTGTTACATTATTTAGTGCTCTTCCATAAGAACTTTCTGCAATGGAATGAAAAAAAATTTTTCATTTGTGCTCATATCCTAATTATGATTTTCTTCATAAAAAAAGTGCTAAAAAATATTTTTTGAGTGCTTAAAATGAGCTTATTTTTTTGTTGAAAACTGGCTACGCACTCTGTTCAATTAAACAAAATTTCGAATTCGCCACCTGCAGCCCATTTCAATCGCCAATACATTTCAGTGATTACTTTTCAACAAGCTTGATACCATCATTAATCTGTGTTTCGATAATTTTTTTTTCTTTTGCAGTTAATTAAATTTATTTTCAGAAGGTTTTTAAAGTTCCCATATTATTACGATACGATCTTTTTTTTTTTTCTTCTTGCAGTTATTGCTGTTGCTTAGTTTTCACTATTTGAAGCGTTAATTCTATCGTTTTTTCAATCCATTTTTTCGACCGTCATCATTGATCAAATTTTTTAAAATCTCGATATTTTTTATACGATATTATTTATTACAACAAGCGAATTTGACTTGACCGATTCGTGTGACATCCTCGTTCTATACGTTTGGTATTATCATCAAGCTTGTTTTGACTGAAGTAAATTTCACAATTCTAGTTTTTTTTTTTTGTTGATGTGATTATGATTGGTTAAGTGCGAAAAAAGAGGAATATGTAATATTTTTCAACGTATATATACTTCCACCACTCTAAATGTTCCGATTATGTCTTTTCAGTTAGTGAAAACATGATTAAGTGATCTCCAGGCATTATATGATTTGTGAATAAAATGAGTTGTGCCTTTTTTTTTTTTTTAAACTGTTGAAAGGATCTAGAGTACAAGAGTTAAGACACCTTAATTCTTCTTAAAAGAGGTTAAATAAAGCTTAATAAGTACAGAAGAAAACCTACCGTAGACCCAAGGCTACATTCACGGTAGAGGCGAAAAATAAGTACAAACAAATTTTTACTTTAATTTCGTAAAATATTTTGGCCAATGTGAAATGTTTTTACTGTTATGCAAGAGTATTAGCTTCAGTATGAAAATTTTTCTTTCACACTCATTTGTTGGAATAGCTATAGCTGATTTGACACTTTTTTTTTAACTGATAGGGCATTAATGATAATTTGGAAGAAATGCCAGAAAATAGAATTGTTTGCACTTTGTCAGACTATATTCTATTAATCTAAGTTGTATAAACTATACCTACTGCTGAATTCTTTTAATTTGAAAATATTCATTGAAACTACCGGATTCTTTAACAAAAAAAATTCAGTTTATGTTGCTTTTGCTAAAGAACATATTTGACACCAACTAGCTACTAACTTGTTTGTCTATATGAACTCATTGCTTTGTGGTTCCACAAAAATATAGTTCTTTACCTGCATGAATTCAATGCTTTGCTCTGAATCTTTGACTTTAGAATTTTAAATGCAGTAAGACAAATTGGCTGTAAGTTGTCCACCTACACAAACTCAACATTTTGGGTTCCACATAGTTTTATGCCTGCACAAACACATCTTTTCGTTGTGTAATAGCGCAAGAGCTAGAATGAGCTATGTTGCATCAAACAATTGGTAGGAGATGGAGGGAAACAGCTAATATCATTACAGTCAATTGCGCTTAAATACTGTGATAATTGCCGAATATTGAAATAATTTTTTTTAAAAAATTTATCTTTGAAATTTGAATACAATTCAAGTTTGAGACTTTTATCTTGGTAGAATTGTGTTACTTAGAACTACTATTCTGAGCATTAAATACTCAAATATATTCTCAATGGAACTCTTTAGTTCTACCTTTTATCTGATAAACCTATAGTTGAAATTTGAAACTTTTATAATAGTGGGAAACTTTTATTTTGTATATTTTCCAATAGGGATAGTTACAAAATATCAAACTACTTTCAGCCTAATATAAATTATATTTTTGTTTTTTAAATTTATCTTAAAAATTTGAATACAGCCCAAGTTTGAGACTTTTATCTCAGTAGAATCATGTTACTTAGCATTACTGTAAATTAGGTTAATTACCACAGTAATTACAAAATATTGATTTGAAATTTGTTTAGTAAGAACATGTTTTTAAGTTTAGCTTTCTAACTTCATGGAAAGTGATAGAAATGATCTGTGAGAGAGAGCTTTGCCTTTTATATGTACAGATTATAAACTTATTTAACATATGCACAGCAAAAATATTGAATTTCTTACATTTTTGATAGAACTTTCTGTAAGTACTTCTGAATAGTTGAACAATAACTTCAATGAAATATTATTAGATTTCGTACAGTAATAAATAAAAATTAATAAATAAATGGTAAATATTTTAAGCAAGTCAATCTTGTATTTAATATGGCTTGAATTATTATTAGCCTCCATGTTAGGAGGCTAAAATGAAATACTATTTAATCTATTTACAAGACTGTATTCAAAAAGCAGAGAGTGACAGGAACAATTGCCCAAGAGTACAGTTGAAATTTCTAATTAAAAATATAGTGTTTTAAATTATACAAAAAAAATAAAGATAATTTATTTCCATACATACATATAAAATAAACCTTCACTATTGCAAAAAATTTAGTCACAAGAAATAATAAAATGAAAATTAATATTTTAGAATATGTATTAAAATGTAGTTGTAGACATTTTGAGGATCAAAAAATCTACGATAAAGAGAATTTTGTAAATCATCAAAACAAAATAGGGAGCTTAATTTTCTTTTTTATTTTGAAAAAAGAAATGTTCCTTTAGAAAAATTCTGCCTTGGAAGAGTAAAATATGCGTCTTCTAACTATCTTTATATTTGACTTAAAATTCTTTCCTCTACTGCAAAAATAAAATAAAAATATTTCGGTATCTTTTATTTAGGCAAAGATTAAATTTTTATGTCCTTTTAATATTAATTAATACGCATTTAAAATAAGTAGTGAAATATGTCTAAAATAATCAAATCTTGTCATTTGTGAAATATTATTGCAATATTGTATATTTTAAACAGTTGTTTCATATTGCTCATGGACTGCAATAGGGGCACAACTCGAAAAACACACGTTTTGAACAGTTGTAAATATGAAAATACACATCCTTTTCAGCAGCAATATTAGCACAATTCATAACTCAACTCGAAGGTAATTTGTTTAAGCAAACTAAAGCATTTTTTATGCCTTTTCCTTAGCAATGAAAACTTTAAATCCACTAATCTTAAAACATGATTTTTTTGAGCTGTGCCGCTATTGCAGCCCAGGAGCTAAATGTTTAAAAAGTTCCCATATTTATTCAAACTATGAGTAACTAAAAACGCTTCATTTTAAATATATCAACATAAAAAGTATTCAAAATAACTTTAATAAATTACAAAGTCAACAGTTTTCATTACACAAAAGCAAACAGGTATAACAGACCTTTCACAAATTGATATATTTCATTTCCCCCTAACTTTGATTCACCATAAATTCTATCAACAAAAACAATGGGAACTTCACCAATTGAAAATCCCAGATTTCGGCCTCTCACAATCATTTCCATTTGAAATACATAACCCTTTGATACACATGATTCCACCAATTTTTTCAGTACATCTCGCTTATACAGTCTAAAACTTCCGGTCAAGTCTGAAGCACCAGGGCGTAGTAGTACTTGTGTCAAATAATTAGCACCACGACTAATTAATTTTCTTTTAAAATCCCATCCGTTTACACCACCGCTTCCGCTATAACGAGTTCCAGATACTAAATCATAATCGGCTTCTTTTTGCTTTTTTATGAAGTCCAGAATATATTTGGGATGATGGGAAAGGTCAGCATCCATTATGACAATGAAATCTCCAGTAGCATGTTTAATGCCATGAATGTAAGCAGTTCCTAGTCCTAGCTTCTTTTCCCGTGGTTTCAAGACGATTTTGTCGGAGCCATAAATTTTTTCTAATTGTTTAGCTGCTTCCTGAGTCCCATCCGGACTACCATCGTCGATTATAATTATCTCAAAATCAATATGACCTTCATTCATATATTTGACTATCAACCAAACTATTATAGGTAAATTTTCTCTTTCATTATAAGTAGGAAGTAAGATACTATATTTCGGTTTCATTTTGGCAGATGGGAAAATTTGGAAACTGCCAAATCCTCCTTTATGATGTTTACAAAACAATCAGGCAGCGGAAATGACTAAACGGTTCAAGTTAAATTCCACGTCATCATATTAATTATCTCAATATAAGCATTAAATTCTAAAAATAGGTATTTAAAATATAAAAAATAATTTGATTGTAATGTTTTTACATTTAGTTTTAAAGTATCTGATATATTTATAAATAAAGATATACGGTTATGAACATTTTTAAAATGTGTTAAATTCTGAATCTGGCAATGGGTAGCGTTTCTATGACAACCAGTATTTACTAGAGTAAGCTAACGACAAATTTCTTGTTTTGTTTTGTTTTGTTTTAATCAAATAGACAATTAGTTTGAACATGTAACAAAATAAGTTGACCAAATAGACTGAAATTTATACAACCATTTGGTAACTTTTTAAACTTACAAAATATGAATGGTATCGTGCCTTGCGATTTAAAAAACTTGATGAAGCTTTTAAACTTAGAAGATAATTGTCTTGCTGATGAAGATGAATCTTCATCTCATTATACTCCATCTTCGATAATAAGCAGTTCTGTGAGTGATTCATTCGATACCAGCAATCAGTGTTCACCTCAAAAATTTACAGACAGTTATGCTCAGATTGAAAACTCAAAAAATATATGGTCAGAGGAGGAAGTTTTAGATGAAATCTATGATGAATTGGTTTCCAAGCAAACACCAAGCTACGAACTAATTTACCGACAAAGTGTAACAGCAGATGATATTTATTTGCAGGTTTGAATTCAGTTCTACACTTCTTTGTTTTGTTTACTATAATAATTAAATGAAATAGAAAGTTGTAATAATCTTATCTTTATAAATTTACAGAAAATTATGTGTGTATAGTTTTCACATCATGCACTTGACCAATGAAATTAATTTTGATCAGAAAAGTTAAACTTACCATGATAAATTTGTATCATATTTGACTTTAATATACATCACTTGATAGCTATGCTATTTACTGGTTTTATTTAATGATTATATAATTGAATAAACGTAATAGTAAGTTGTAAAGTTTTTATTTTATATAGCATAGAGCAAGATATTGAATTCGATAATTGCTTCATTACAATATAGTAGAAAATGAATTTCAGGGTAATTGCCTAATTGATTCATAATTTAAATCTCCTGATTTTTTTTTATTTAATTATTTTTTTATTCTTTAAAAAGAACATTGATCTATATCCAAAATGTCTTTTATTAGTTTAATTTATAAATACTTTCTTACGAGTGGGATTTTTATTTTATAGTCATTGGAATTCATTGATCATGGAGATTTATTCCTGAGAAATAATGAGATGAGGCAAATGTATGTGCATTATTTGACGGTAAAAAATAAGACATATAAATGTCAAAAAAAAGAGACTAAATGTTCGAAAAAAAAGTTGTGGGAAACTTTTAAATTACAATTTTTCATTATCATTTTTTTTCTTTTATTATAATTTTTTTTCTTCATTATAATAGTTTCTTTATTTGGTATCTAGCTGAAAAAATGGATTTCATTATAATAGTTTCTTTATTTGGTATCTAGCTGAAAAAATGGATCTTTATCTCCACAACTACATGAGGATGTCAAGCTTGAATAAAAACCACTAGGATTTTATTTATTCATTGATCAATTTGTAATAATTATATAATGATTTGAACCATTTTAGTTAGAAATATGACATTACACTTTAACTATGACATTACATTTAAATAATATTAAATTTAAATAATATTAAATTTAAATAATATTAAATTTCAATAATATTAAATTTAAATAATATTAAATTTAAATACAGTGAATTCGCGATAACTCGAATCTGATAGGACTGACGAAAAACTTCGACATATCGGAAGTTCGACTTACCGTTAGTTTCGGTTTTGGACTTTCAAAATGTTGTCGGATTATTTAATTAATGCTTATTAATTACAAATCTTCTAAATCCTTACAATATTTAAGATCATTTTTCTGACAAGCCATTTACGAGAAGACTGTTTGAAGCACTTTATGATACCCTGGTCCATCGGCTGCAACTTTGCTGTTGTGTTTGGCGGGAGAAACTGCAAGTTTACTGCTTTCAAATTACGTAGATCACTATGCGCTGTGCATTTATCCATAAAGAGTATCACTTTTCTCTTTTTAGCGAAGAATTTCCGATCCAATTTTCTTACATAGTCTTCAAATAAAACTGATGTCACCCAAAACTTTTTGCTAGACTTGTAATCTAAAGGATACGTTCTTACATTCTTGAAACAATGGGGATTTCGGTATTTTCCGATAACAAGTAAGGGCAATTTCTCTGTCCCAGACGCATTTCCTCCAACTAGGACAGTCAAACGTTCCTTGCTCGATTTACCCCCTGAGCAGTTTTCATCCTTAAACATCAAAGTCTTATTTGGAAGACATTTAAAAAATAAAGCCATTTCATCAATATTGAAAACATCATTTTAACTGTATCCTTGAAGTAAATTTGGTAAAGTTTCATTTAACCACTGTTCACATACTTCAAGAGGGACAGCTTTAGCTTCTCCATGAAGAGTACGAAAGACATTGTGTGTGTGTTGCAAAGGAAGGGGCAAGATATCAGCTCCTAGGTTTTTTTTTCTTGCTTTAAAAGATCCGAAAAAAAATCGAGTTAAAGGGAGTGAAATTCGAGTAATCGAGAATAATTAGCATGAAATTGAAGATAAGAGGGTCAGGACCTCATAAAAAAATCGAGTTATAGTAATATTCGAGTTATCGTACTTCGAGTTATAGCGAATTGACTGTAATATTAAATTTAAATAATATTATAAGCATCATCACTATCAAAGATTGCTTGGTAAATGTCTCGAAAATAAAAGAAATCTAATTTAAATAGAAAAAAAAAAATCCCTTTTTTAAAAATATATATATATATATCTTTTGCAAAAATTATCTATAATTTTTATCAACCCTGGGCCAACTGCTCACTAAGGCAACGATCATGGGATCTATTAGTCAGCTAAGGATGTTCTGTTAATTAAAATAAATTACAGGATGTAAAAGGGTTTAAACAGCGGAAATAAGATGGAGACCCTCATTTTCTTTAGCTTCATTTTATTTTAATTGAAAAGAAAGATAACTTTCTTCATTTGAATATGTGTTTTCGATCTATTCTAGTTAGATGTTAACTAAATATAAAAAATTGGGCACACTATGTACTGTCGATGAATAAACATCTTTATTCCTGATTTTCTCCGTGAATTAGTATCTTTATTCCTGATTTTTCTCCCTATCCTCCAAAATAGAAAAGTCAGAATACTAGTATGAAAATATAGTTCCAATAACCAATATTTTTTTAAGAGAAGTGGTTTAAAATTCTTTCTTTGTAGTTCGAATTTTAAGTTTTTTTTTCTCACACGTTTGCAATTCAGTTGCAAAAATTTTAATTCTTTTGCACACAATTATGTGCCAATTAATTTACATTTAACAAAATGAAAAGGACCAAATCGTATAACTAATTATTTATTATTTGACTTATCAGTAATAAAAAAGTGAACAAAAAGAATATTTTTTATAGTGCAGGCATATTACGTATCAATAATTTCCTTACGTTTTTAAGGACACATTGTAATCTTTGAAATGAAAAAAAAAAATATATATACATACACACACACACACATATATATATATATATATATATAACGTCGTTGCCGAGTGAAAGGATTAAAACAGGTCTTAGCTAGGGAAGGAGGGTACAAAATTTATTTATTAGTTATTAGACAGAGAACAGCTATAAAAGTGGTCACGAAAAGTTTTTATCCTCATTTTTAGTTAGAGAAAATCTTGCAAAGTAAATCCGTAAAATGTTTCAATTTAGGGAATGAGGGAAATGTTAGTAATTTTAATTGGTTTATTAAATAGGTCCCGCGATTTCCACAACGAGCAAAATGTCTTGGTTTTAATTAATGCATGCTTGAGCCAAAATTAGATTTAAAGGACAGGATGTGAATTTAAAAGTGTGAAAAAGTGTTTCGATTAGAATAATAAAATATAAGAAAAGGATTTACAGAAAAGGAATAACATAAAAAAATTAATTGAAGCTTTTTATGTTACATATAAATATATAATTTTAAGTCTGTTATTTGGTTATCATATTGATTTATTTTTAGCTAAGCAATAAGAACCCTGGCTCTAACAGTTGTGAAAATTTGGTCTTTAAAATCCAACTGAAAGATACTACTTCAATTGAAGAAATTACATTGAAGATAACAGCGCATTCGCTTCTGTGTACAACTAAAATATATTATCTTAATCTAGAGCTTCCAAAAAATGTTGATCCAGGAAAATGTTCAGCAAAATGGGATCAATCCAGCTGCATTTTGATTGTGACTTTGTTTTGTGAAGAAGAAAGAAGTATAAATATTTAATTTTCATGGTCAGAATTGATCAATGATCAAACAAAACTATAAATGTATACAAATTCATTAGAAGGTAAATAGTTGTCTGTCACTTAAATTTAAAATTTTCCAAAAGCATAATATTATTTTCTGAGAATATTTTTAGGTTTCAGCTTTGTATGACTTAAGTAATTTTACATAGTTAAATAAATGTACAACTTTACAATAAAAATTATTTGTTGTTTTGTATGCTCGATTTTGTAAAGGAAAACATCAAACAAGCTACAAAATTGAGAACTAATTCATGAATTGTCAAATATCAAAAGCTTGAGCATCATTATCCCAAATTTTTTTATAAAGATGTCTAAGTTTTTTGGATAGTAATTTCCTCCATAGAGTGTATGGTTCATATTCTGATATTTTTTATTTTGCTTTTTACTATAAGACTTATGATTGTTCTAAGAATAAGATAAGTACAGCTCTATTGGTTCCACTGAATTTCTAAGACCATACTTAGGATTATTCAGAGAATAGGATAAATACAGGTCTAATGATAGCATTAATGACCTAACAAAATACTTTCTAGTGATAACTTCTGGGTTGCCTCTGCAGACAGATAATAAAGAAATGTAATTCATATTCTTTGTTTTTTTAAAACAGTTCTTTTGTTACCTTCTTATTCTGCAAACTTGGCTTACCATTATTTTTTACAATATCTAATTACATAAATATCACATTGAAAGTCATCATTTATATGTTATATATCAAACTTTTAATTAACCAAATTAATGCATTAAAAACAAACATTTAATGTCGTAGTTTATAGTGTTAGCTTGAATCACAAAATGTTTTGCACTTTTCATGTTCTTAAAATTTGTCAACTATAACATCTATTCACAACTTTCTTTTTTTCTTTAAAAAAAATGCTCTGAAAGGCAAAAGCCCGAGACTTTTGATAACAATAGAATAGGCATAGTGCAATAGAAAAATAATAATAGATTTTGATAAAAAAAACTCACACATTCTTTAAATTAATTAATATTTTTGTTAATTAATTCATAAATTAGTTAACAAATATTTTTTTAATGATTTAATATTAATTAACATTTTTTTACATTTATAATTATATCCTTAATTAAGGGGTCACAGTACCCAAAAAATGACAAAAATACCAAAATTTTTTTTATTGCTTATAATAAAACTTCAAACTATTTCAAATGTACAGAAAAAAATTCATCTCTCTATCTACATTTTTAAAAAAGTTATGAATGATTTTAAATTGTTCTAATACAGAAACTTGCTCAGCAGCCTGACTTCAAAGTGCTTTTTCGCATAGATGATAATTTTGTGTCTTAATCTTAATTAAATCCCTAAGGAATTTTTTCTATTTAAGATAAAGCTTTGAAGTAAACTTTTTTATCTTGAGTATAATACTCTTATTTAAACTGTGCATGGAATAAGCATTTTATGAGGTATTACAACTTTTACGGCATGTTATATATACCTAACAGGAGTTTTTACCCTTTTTTTTCTACTTTTTTACGAAATAATCTATAAAAAATATTCTAATTGATATATCAGCAAATGAATGCACAAAATTGTTAAGATAAATATTGCAAGCACTATGAAAAAAACTTTTTTTGAAAATATGTTAAAATAAAAAAGCCTTAGGGATTTAAAAATTTAGAAGTTTTTCGACTTTTTTTAAAATTTAGAAAAAATTAAGCAGTTTAATCATTTTTTGAAGATAAATTATTGATTATAGCTGAAATTAGCATGTAAAGCATCCTCAAAATGAATGATTATACCTTTATTTTAAAAAATTGTTGCAAAGGTACTGTGACCCCTTAATTAAAAAATAAATTTTCACATTCTTTAAATTAAATTTGTTTTAATCTTGTTCCTACTATAAAAATTACAAAATATTAAATTAATCTATTGTTTTATAACAGATTGAGAGATAGATTTAACATTTCCTAAAACTCTTATGTAACAATAATATTTTCTTGTCAACAAATTCTTCAAAGTTTGTTTTGAGAAAGAAGAATAGAAAATGTATTGATTTCTGTTATGCGACTGAATATTCTCCCACAGGTGGCATCGCAGTAAGGAATGATTATACACTGCAGACAATGCTTTTCGAAAACAAAAAAACTATGAAATAAATAAATAAATAAAAACTTGATGCTCCAATATCAGTAAAGTTAATTTAGCATAAATTAAATTATTACTCTTAAAAGAATCAGGCATTTCAAATGTTTTGTTTAAAAAAAGTTATAATAAAGAATTAATGACAAACCAAACACACTCAGACTACAAACTGACTGATCAAGGGAAATAATTTTGGGCTCTTTATGCAAATCGTGCACTGGTTTACTGATTTGTGTAGTTAAAAAAATACTTTATTGTCCAAAAGTACCGAGATTGAAAACCAAAGTCTGAGATATTATTTTAAATAAACTTAAATCGGCAATTTTTAAATGTTTACCTAGAAATGGTTTTTCCCAAAGATATCTAAGTTAAACAGGATTGGCATTTCTTTTGGACAATGTAAGAAACTAGAAAGAATCGAAGGAAACTAGATAAAATGGAAAGAACTAAAAATGACCTATACAATTGTTTAGCAAAAAGTATCATAAGAATAACTCAAACTTAAACAAATTTAATTTAATATAGTAACAGAAAGTATAATGAATATGCATATACATTTACTTTCTTTTAAAATTTTTTTTTTTATATTTATTAGTTTTATAGAGAATCTTAAAATCTATATCATATTATTTAAGAATCGGTTTAAGCATTCATACTTAACATTATTTGATTATAAAAGTTAGCATGATATTTGCAATTGACAATTCAATATGTGTTTTTAGCAGTATCTATGTATAGTATGTAATTTGTTAATTTAGTGATAATAAAATTTAGATTATGTTATTTTAATTGTCTTTTATATAATTATAAAATTAACTTTTACTTCACTATTTAACATAAAATATTAACCACTAGTTATTTTAATTCTTTAAGAAATTCATAAAAAAGAATTTTTAAACTTTCACTTATTTGAAAATGCTACATTAAATAGCTTAAAAATAAATACCATTATTTAAGCCGGATTGTAATTATAAGCTGTTTAAATATTTATTTTTGAAAAATAATTTCTCCCACTTGAGTTGGAAGAAATATAATTCGTTCAGGTGCTCATTTTATATTAAAATTTGTATTGATTCAATAAATAAAAACAAACGTTTATTTAAAAAGATCTAATTGATATTAATACAAATTGCTTATTACTAAATAAGAGCTTTAAGGCATCTTTATATATGAACAACTAGCAAGAAAGGAAGTAAACTAACTTTTACATACATGCACTACTAAAAAAAGAAAAAAACTTTAAGATATTAAATGTTTATTTTCTTGTTGAGTTGAAATAAATATTTAAGATCTTTAGATATACTTTTTATCATGTTCATATATTTATGAGCATAAGTGAATATTTTTGTATCCTTTATCAAAATATTAATCAATAGTTAAAATAGTTTTCTATGAAATAATTTTTAATGGTTTAATTATTTTTAATTTGGGACTGAACATGTTATTTTACCTTTTGTTTTAAATAAACCAAAATATCTGGTTTTATACAAAGAAAAGCTGAATAATTAATTATTATATTTATAATTTCTGATAAGTGAATTAGAAATATTAGGGGTTCTTTGAATTTTCAGAAATAATATATTTTCAAATTGAAATTGTAATTTAAATAGAATACTCTTACGAAACTAAATGTGAATATTCAAAAGAATTAGATGATAATTCTTAAACTCCAATTTTATGATAGTGAGAATTTTAATGTTTCCCGTTTTCTAAACAGAAAAAAAAAATAGACAATTTATTGATAACAGACTAAATATATTTATTTATCTTTCAGAGAAATAAAACATAAGTATTTATAGACAAATATATTCATACTGCAAAAGAGGAAACATAAGTTAAGTATGAATTGTAATACTTCTTAAAGTTTAAAAGAAGAAAGACATACCTATGTATAAGATTTTTGGCACAAAATGATGTATAAATATAAAAACTAAAAATAACAAGAGTAGAAATATTAAAGCTAATTATAAAATGTAGAATTTGATCAAGTAAACAAGAAATATTTTGATTACAATAAAACAAAATTATAAAAAAAATTGTTTGACAAGTTTTTTTTTATTTATTTAAGAATATAACATAGTTGCCAACATTAAAAAATATAAGTTCCAGGAGATTGTAATATGGTGAATTTTTTACACGAAATATTTTTTAAAATAAATTATTACACAATATAAATGTCCTTTCAAATAATAAATAAAAATTATCATTCTTTTTAATTTTATTTATATACATTTTACATTCCATAAATTTTCCTAAATTTTTACACTTCTATATGATTAAAAGCAACAGTTTTGAAGATTAAAAGTTTCTTAGACACAGCAACACCTCAAAAACAATAGTTAACTATTGTTTTTGACGAAATTGTTTTTTTTATTGTATTGTTTTGTAACGAAAATTATGCTCTTTGATAAAAAAAAAAGAAAAGGACAACTCGTGGTACATAAAAACAATTTTTTAAGTTAATTTTTTAGCTTAAAATTTTTTAACATAAAACAAGAGTTTTAATAAATAATACAAATCATATAAACAAACTGCTTATTATACATTCTTAATATTTGAACACAGATAAATACTTTTTGCTCAGATTTTTTGAAGAAATTTTTTTTTTAATTATCATCAGGTGATATCAACTACCACAGTAATAAAAATAGCACATGCTGAGAAATGTAGAAAATGTTAAGAAAGAATATATAATACAAATACCACAACTGTGAGTTTTATTTCACTACAACTTCAAATTGTTTTAATTGCGACATTTTTAGGATGAAATATAGTTTAAAAATACATGTACAATTTATATTTTTTATTATGGAGATACAGGATGAATATACTTGAGGTTACAAAATGAGATTCTAAACATCTGCTTATAGTGTTAACACTATAAATATTCTAAATAAAAAATAGAAATCTGCGCAAAAGATAGCTTCATACAACCAATAAATCATAATTTAAATTCGATAGGACTGATGAAAAGTTTGAGATATTTAAAGTTCAGTTTGGATAGTTCTAATTTTGCTTCTTAATTCTTAAGCAGCGAATATTTAAGTCCATTCTAATTAATACTGACTTGTAATTGAAAAACTTCAGGAGAAATTTTGAGAAGAGTGGCTTGGTAACTAATTTCTTTAAACTGTAAATGCTATAAATGATAAAATAGAATTTTAAAAAATTGGAAGAAAAAAAAGAAAATATTTTTCTGTTTACCACACAATGATGCTAAATATATAAAAATCTCATTTTTTCCCTTCTTTTTGTCACTTTTGTTGAATTTTCTATTGCATGGCAGAATAAGAAATTGGAATGTGAAACATGTTTTTATGTGTCACACTTTCTTGAAATAATTGTGAATAATTCTCATAGTTCACATATCTGAAGGTGCCACAGTTAAAATTTTTTAAGGAAGTTAAGTTTGAGTGCTGAGAATAATTATTATGGATGGAAAAATGAAGGCGTTAGAAACAAAACTAAAATCAAGCATAAGCAAACATTGAGTTTTCAGTTGATGAGCTATAATGAATTAACTGCAGTAGAAAATTATATGCAGTAAAAAAAACTTTTCAATAGATATATCATAAATATTAGTTGAATATGATTAGGAAGACTTGTTATCTAAGATATGTATATTAACAGATATTTAAAATAAATTATAGTATCATTTTTAATATATAATTATAAATATAAAGCATAAATTATTCAACTAAGCTTAATTATTTTCAAAACATTTAAAATAATAAAATCTTAATTGAGCTCAAGCTTTTAGAGCATAATTTTGAAATTCTGTTCCAAATATTAAAGTTTAGATAATAAAAAATTATTTAAATAAAATGCTTTAAAGAAAAGTTAGTGCCAATGATTTACAAATACTTTTATTGCAATCTAATGATATTTGCCTTAAACTCAAGCTAAAAAAACAATTAATTTTTGATTTTTAATTGTTAATTTTTGAAAATAATTACTCAAAATACTGGGAATCTAATATAGCCGTAATTTGGTTTTGATCAAAGTATTAAAATAAAGTGCTCTCTTTGTGATTTTAAAATTGATAGAAAATTCTTTCCTCTTTCATTCAAATCGCAATTTTTTATTTACAAATAATTTTCCTCGTTAACCAAATGCAGAACGCCAATGAGCAATATCATCGGTTCCATTTCTCTAAAGGAAGAATTGTGAAAAATGTCAGTTCTTACAATTAAAAATGTTGTGAAGAGTCTGTTAACAGATCCATAAGCAGATCCCCTGTGACGGAATTTTATCAAATAAAAAAAATTAGGTTCGAAATTTAATATAACTTCGTTTTTATGGGTTACCTACGTTAAAAACAAAGCAATACACAATCATTTATTAGAAATAGATACACGAAATATGACTATTTTTGAAACAAAGTGATACGCAAGAATCCGTAGCAATAATAAAATATGAGAAAAATTTAATAAAAAGAATTTTAAAATATCTAACAATCATATAATATTTAATCTTTCAGAAAACAATATATTCTGTATAAGGTAAAAATATAGAATATATATATTTTAAGTACAAAATTCTATATAAAAGATTTCACTGGTAATTTTTTTTAAATATAAATGTTTTTTTAGATTGCATACATGAGATTCTTTTAGAATATGGGGAATTCACATCAAAATTCGTCATGTCTCTTTAGTGCTTCTCCGAAATCAGTGGCTTGGCTTCCAACAAACAGATCAAACTTATTCAAAATTTCTTCTTTGCTCAGCAAGTTATCCTGTAAATATAGATTTTGAAAATATGAATGCAATATATAAATATTCAACAGTTTTTATTGAAGGGTGTTGGTCAGTAAACATAAGTCATCTACTGATGGTACTACAAAAATTCATACTTTTGTCTAAAACATACAGCCACTTTACCAAAAATTGAAAATTTTTAAAGAGTAAAAAGTTATTGATAATAATAAGGGATTTCTCTAGAAGCATTTATCAAAATATGAGAAACATTACAAGGTTCATTTCCAAAACAATAAAAAATTTTAAGAAACAAGCGTAAAATAAAGTAATTTTCCGAATATTATAAAATATTTGCAACTACTCTTTATTTATTAAATAATAATAATACTAATAAAATGCACATAAAGTGCATTTTAAACTAAGAAAGTGGGAACTGGCAGTAGTATTCAACAGTTTTTAAAGCATTTCATGGACAATAGATGTCACGGGTAGAGTAGTAATAACTTTATTCTTAGTATCAGTGGACTTAGTTTCGATGATGAAAAGAGAATCTTGTAGATTAAACTCAGAATTTTTTTTAAACTGTAAGAAAGGAAGAAAACTTTAATTGGTTTAGTTAAACTTTAATTGGTTTTCTGTCAGGTTATTACCGGCATCCTATAATAAACTTCAAAACAACTGACTGTATTTGTCAAAATTATTCATGCTTTATGGCAAAGGATGATGATAACAGTTTTTGCCAAATTTACAAAATAAAGTCTAATCTCCAAAATGAATGTATGTATTTTATTACCATTTGTAGTTCTACAAATAGACTTTATTTGGCGTACTTAAAAAATATAAAATTGTACCCCTATTGAGAAGCCGAAAAAAAAAAAAAATTTAGAAATGTTAAATCACATGAATTAGGAGAATGACCTATTTCGAATAAAACAATTAATTCATCGCTTCATACAGACAAGTAAGGTGATATCAGTGTAAAACAAAAAATTTAATTTAAATAACTTAATTAATTAACGTACTTTTTTATTTTGTTTTTCCAAAAAACCTTTCTAAATTAAAAGAAAAATTATTCAGAAGTTTTTAAACATAAACAAAACTGTATCAAATTTTTATATATGGATTACTAATAAAAGAACAAAAGACTTCCACTGGCGAGTTACCAATTGGAAAAAAAACAACATAGATTTATCAGAATAAAATTCAATAAAAGAGTGATTTTTTTTTGTCAGTAAAAATGAGGACTAAGATTTAGTAAAACCTTTTTTTGGTGTATAATTGATTAAAATTTTTACTAGTGTACATGTCATATAACCATTAACAGAATTGATAAACAAATAGTAAACCCATTTTGTCCGTCCAAAAAGTGTAAACTAGGGTTTCTTAAACTTTTTAGTGCGAAGATCCTATAAGCATTGTGCAAGTCCGACAAACATGTGAGTGAAATTGTCAGAATTTTCAGTTGTATTGTAATACACCATTGCAGTTTAATGGCTTTAATTTTTAATTTTAAAAGTTAGAAAAAAGGCAACAATATTAATTAAATAACAAATTTTAAAGTATAATACAATAATAAAAATGCGCCAAATCATTGATTTTGATTCAAATTGATTTTTTTCTTTGCCTTTATTGTCTTACCTTTCTCTATTTTTAGACACATTGTGTAAAATTATTTGGTAAATAATTTTTATAATGTATTAAAACAATATCAAAAACTCAAAAAATTTTAGCAGCCTCTGCTGTAGGTCCTGTGACCCCAATTCCAGTCAAGATTCACAGTTTAAGAAACTTGTATGTAAACATTAAACCCATTCTGTCCACTTTACTTACTACAACTTAGACAATTATAAATAGCATAGTTATATAAATTTACACTTATATATGAACAATTTAAGTTTATTACGAAAATCTAATAAAAAAATTAAGAACTAGCAATTCTTAATATTTTTACTTAATTTAATTTAGGAAAAAAACACCTATTTTAAATAAAGCATCACACTGTATCAATAAGTTTTACATTCAATAATCCAATCCCATTAACTGTTAAATATTTCAAAATTGCATAGTGATGTGTTTTAAATCGTCATGGGCAAAACAATTTTAAGGTTTAGATAAATCAGAATGAACTTACTCTATTCAAATCAGATTCATAAACAAGATGTTTTGCTTCAGCTTCACTATTGTCGTAATCATCAGGCAATATCCAATCTTTTACTTCATCAAACTCCATAAAACCACTCTTATCTTTGTCTCTAAATTGAAGGAATTGATCTTTTTCAGCTTCAACCCAACTTGGTTCAGCTTCTAGGTCATTGTCGTCCCACATATCACCTGGAAAAGTAATTTTAGTAGAGAGATAAAACAGCAATAGTAAAAAAAGTACAGTACAGAACCCGTTATCCGGAAATCAGAAAACCAAAAAACTGGAATAAAATTCGTAAAATTCCTCGTAAGATTTAAAACATTTTCCTTCTTTTCTTAAATATGTTTACCTTACCATCATTTTGGAAATAATCATTAGTGTATTACTTAATCGTGTTTTCTTATTTTTAAGATTATTTCCAATTTTTTTTGTTATTTTTTAGTTGGGTTTAACAATAAAAAAAAACGGCTTTTTGTAGCGATTCAGAAAACCGGAAAAATCAGTTATCCGGAATAGTGATGGTCCCGACCGTTCCGGATAATCGGGTCTCCTACTGTACTATATTAGTTGAAACAAAAATAAAAGTTTTATAAGGTTAACTATGATAGACAAGTACTAACTCTTTCAGTATCAGTTATAGTAAATCGATACTGACAGAAGTGATTGTGAGCCCAACTCAAAAATCTTGAAAATTTCTTGAGTAAAATCATTAATGACGCATTTCAAATAATTAATGTCTTTATAAATTTAAATCATTCATATTTTCACAACATGAAATTCTAAATAAATTAAATGTAGCATAATTTAAATTAATAATTATGTATATGTTTACTTTTATCTCTAATCTCATTTATTATTCTATCAGCATTTCAAATAATTAATGTCTTTATAAATTTAAATCATTGATATTTTCCCAACATGAAATTCTAAATAAATTATACATAGCATAATTTAAATTAATAATTATGTATAAGTTTACTTTTATCTCTAATCACATTAATTATTCTACCAGAAAAAAATATTTACAAATGAAAGAGATGTCAAGTATAAATTCTAGTTCTAATATTTTGAAATAAAATATATAAGAATTTTTATACATAAATGTGATCAATGATTTCTTGAAACTTCTGGACCTTGGATTTCTGGTTAGCGAAAAATCTGAAAATCCGGATTTTTTCTGGAGCACAATCATTTCTGTACTGAGTATCAATAACTAGATACTTTCCATAATAGATGTTCAATTTTAATCAAGAAAATATATCAGTGATGTTTGTTTTGATATTATTGATGGAAGTGAATCATTTCAGCATTTTATAAAAGTTTTGTTTTCTGAAAATTAGTTTAATTAACATATTAGAAAAAAAACATTGAATACATATATATGATGAATATTAATATGCTTGCAACAGGCGTTCTAATGAATGCCATTGAAGCAGTAAACCTTTTTCTCCAACACACAAGAACAAAAGACACAAAGGAGATGCTTGACCATGGTAAGTATCAACATTGGTTGTAATCGTACATCAACAATTCAGTTTAATTGTTAACTTTTAATTAATGATCTGAGAAACTGATTCTTAAAGACATTGTTTAGTCCATAATTCTTTTAGTGAAGTACTTAGTGGTTTCAATAATCAGAATATTGAAGGCTCAGATGATTATTGAATAATTGGAAGGATATTTTACAAATAGAATTATAAATTAATATTACCCTTGGACCCAGACAACACTTTTGATGATGCACAAACGTCTCATTGTGCATATTACAGAACATCAATATACTTTATTTAGCTGGTATATGTAGAATGAATTTACGGGTAATTTTCTCAAAACATTACTCTGTTCTATTAACATTATTCTCAAACATTATACAATCATTTTGCTCAAGATAAGTAAGAAAAATTCATCACATAATTAACTTCATGTTGATAATTTTTACATTGTGATCATACAATGAAGTATACGAATCAATGACCAGCAACGAAAAAATATTAAAAATAAAAATTTAGTGACAAGTTTAAACTGTAATTGCATGGAAAAAATGTTATTACTGTCCCCTCGTTTTGAAGTTTAAAAAACACACGAGGAAAATATTTAATTAAAAATTTAATTAATGTTTTTTAAGAAAATAGATTATATCTAAAATTTTGAAGAAATATTAAGAACTTTCATAAGAATATTTCCTTTCCCATTACAAAAACATCTTTATATCACTTATATTTTTATATTGCCTTCAATATGATCACATAATAAATTGAAATCAATTTTAATTTTAAAAAATATATATACAAATATTTTTAAGTGTAATTTAAGTACAAAATGTATCTGAATGCATAAATTTTTTTTTTTTACTTCTTGTGATCATTTTAAGCAAGCTATATCATTAAATAGCGAACATAATCTTTTTGATGAGAAATGTTGCTTAAGGATGTAAAAGTTAACAAATTGAGAAAACAACCCTTAAAGCAATTTTAAGGAATTTGAAGTAAATAGATAACATCAAATGTCAGAAGCTGAAATAAATTTAATTGATTATTACTGGATTATCTTTTGATAAAAAGCTTTACAATATGTTAAGAAACATCAAAAGATAAGATTGTGGAGGATCTTTTGAATTACTTTGAAAATGTTAAAAAATAAATTAATCTTAATGAAATGCATTTGAAAAATGTTAAAAAATGAAATTAAAAGACTAGATATGCTTTTTAAAAGTAAAAATGGAACTATTTCAAGTTTTCTATAAGGTTAAAAAAATAGTTATTAATTTTAAAAACAAGCTTTTAAAAATGCATTTTTTTATTATAGAGTGGATAAATGCTAAAAAACATCAATTTTATTAACAAATAAGATTTAACATATAAATTGTTGAAAATCCATTTTTAATCACTGGAAAATTATTATTGAATTTTAACTATGTATTCTTACTGTAGATAAATGAAACACAATTTTGATATTTTGTAAATGCTCAAAATTAGTATAAGTAAAATTAGTGGTCAGTAGTTGAACGCTAAAAAAATTGAAACTACTGTAGTAGCTATTTTTTTTCTTCTTTCCATTTCATGGCATCCATTTCTTTTTAATAATATCATAATGAATAGTGTGACTAGAAAAAAAAAGTAGTTTATAGCAATTACAGTCAACTACTTTTAACTTTAATTTACTTAAGAAAAAAAGTTCAAATTCATCTAAATTTTGAATCTGATTGGTACAAATCTTCCTGGGTCCTTCAATGGGCTTTTTGAGAATATCCCTGTGTGGCTGAGCATAATTAAAAATTATGTATTTAGAGCTATATTTTACTCATATTTAAATTAGCCATTATGATTAATAGTTAATTTATTTCTTTGACCACACCTTCAAATGTGAATGTGCACCCTTGAAACATTGATTTTATTTCAACGGTAGAGAAGATATTTACCCTGTTTTCAAAAAACTTTAATTCTTAGAGGAATTAAACGTGCATTAAATAAAAAAAAAAAAATAATACTTGATAATTTCCAAAAATTTAATAATTGGCTAACGAGTAAGGTTAATAAAAAGTTGAAGGTTAAAAGAACAAATTTATAACTAACTGACTCATGTAAACAAGAATCATTATTTATTAATAATTCTTCATATTTAAACAAAGCCAAGTTTTTATTCAAAACTATTTTGAACATGGGTGCAAATAATTAGGCTCTCCGGAAAAGTTTATCTCCTAAAAGTAGTGACTACATTTTGAAAATAGTTTGTAGTCACAAAATTTTTTTTAAAAAATAGCTGCAGTTAACTACAGTTTTAATAAAGTAGTAGTAATTAACTACAAAAATAATGTAGTTTTCCCCATCATTGAATAAACTCCATTAAGAGAGAAAAGTTTTCCATACTTCTAAAAGCATTATGTGTTACAGAATTTTAAATATATAGATATAACAAAAAAAGGTAAAAAAGATAATTTTGCAACAAAAAAAAAAGAAGTTTAGAATATTACTATTACATTTTTTAAAGTGACCTTGCATTATATAAAATCAATATAATTGAATAAATTAACATATATGTACCTATATACTCTTCTAGGGAAATTTTCCCATCATTATTTTTATCAATATCTTCCATAGTTTCCACAACAACAATATCTTTCATGTGAAGGCTTTCTTCCGGATGTACAAAATTCACAAACTCTTCTTTACTCAAACTTCCACTATTATCTAGATCAGCTTTTTTCCATCGTCTCATATCCCGCTCAATCATATCTTTGTAATGAGATAAATCATCTTCATCCTCTGCTAAAAAATAAATTTAAAAACGCTTGTATTGAAATAGTGAATTTTTATTTAAAAAGAGTACTTACAAGAAAAAAAATCTGTCTTATTTGAATAACTAGATATTGGAAAAACTTATTTATGAAAACAGTAACAGTAGCTTTTCACAGTAACAGTAGCTACTTTTCAGTTAAGCAGTTTACTTGGTTCTATGATGTGAAATAAAATATGATTTGGAACAAAATATTGACTTCAACTAACAAAGAAAGTTTAAAAACAAACAAGTAATATAAATTTTTTTTTTCAAGTCAATTCCTACTTAGATCAACAAAGAAAAATTTTATTTTAGTTACTTTTCATTAAATACAGTAGAGAACCGATTATCCGGAACGATCGCGATTCCGGATAACTGATTTTTCCGGTTTTCTGAATCGCTACAAAATGCCGTTTTTTTAATGTTTATAAAACGAAATTAAAACATATATAAGCTATTTGTGGTTATGTGAGATTCGTCTACAAACGGCTTTTGATCCGTCCCCTAAATCAGTTCTTTTGTCAACTCGATATGTCGTGCGCTCTAAATAACAAAATGGGCTCAAAATCTTGTAGGAAAAAAAACATTTTTTTTAATGGAAGAAAATTAATTTCCAGTTTCGAATTTTTTCCGGTTATCTGATTTTCTGATTTCTGGATAAGAGGTTCTGCACTGTAATTACAATTTTTTTCTCCCATATAAAAACTATAATTAATTAATTAAATTTATTTGATGAATTAATATTTGAAAAACTGTATTAACATCAAGTGTCATCCCACTACAAGTTTAAAAAAATGTATTTAAACTTGAATGGATTATTATTAACTTGAATGAATTATTTTATTAACAATTGAAAATTTGAACAAGATATATAAATATATAGGAAGAGTCAGAACTAATAGTAGGAATTGGAAGAAGAAAAAAAAGGTGCATAGTATCAGACAACTATAAAAGTATAAATTTGGTGAGGTGGACCACATGTGCTACCATGCAATATTCTTTATTGAATTTATCTGACACAGCAAGTATAAAATAATTAAATGTGCGCAATGAACTATTTTTTTTTGTTCAAATAGAGCTATAAGTTAGAAATTATCAGGTATGTTATTTTTAAAATAAGTGAAAAACTGAATCACTTATAGTAAAATTTAAAACAATGACTAAAACTTAACCAATCAGAAAATTCCATTTCGTTTTTCACTCATCCCTATTTAATTAATGAATTAATATTTGAAAAAAACTGTAGTATCACCCGCTAAAAGTTCAAAAAAATGTATTTGAGCTTGAGTGGATGAATAAAAAGTATTTTATTTACGATCGAAAGGAAAATTTGAACAAGATATAGGGAGAGTGTGAACTAATAGTAGGAATTGAATAATAGAGTATTAAAAGAATTAATAATAACAAATGATATTCAGAGTGAATTATAAATTTCAATAATCAATAATTTCGAATCTATGAACTTGAAATAGCCTCATTATGGAAGCAAAATTATTACAATAAAAATTTATGATTACAATAAGTCACAATAAATTGATTCATCACATACAATGAATGAATAGTCAAAAGGATTGATACAGCTTACTTTATCGAAATCCGCTAAAAGCCCACTAGCAATAAGTTCAAGATAGATTAGGGAGAAACAGGTTTATATACTTTTCTATCTAGCCCCAGTTTGCTCAAGATAATTCCATGCTTAGGTATTACAAAAATAATTACTAGGTATATTACTCAATTATTGTTGCTGAAATTATTATCTCTAAAAGAAATTCTTTAAAAATAAAATTATCTGAAGGTTAATGAATAATTTTGATAATCTAAAGTAACTGGGGATGAATCTTAGTCTGGACAACCTAAATTTTTAGATACTAAAAATTCATAATTTGAATCCTCTATTTCCATCAACAAACTATGAAAGTATAGCTTATGTTTAAATAATAGTGTTATCTATTAAATTTTGTTATTATTATAACCAGCTAATATAAGTTTCACAGTAAAATACTTTATTCAAAAACTTTTTTTCTCTTTGCAGTTCAAACTAAACTTAAATAGAAAATTATTTATTTGACATTAACAAAAAGCAAAATGATTTTGCAATAAAAAAAGTAGAAAAAAAAACTGTTCCTCTTATTATTGTAAAAGTCTTATTTATAAATTAAAATGTTTAAACATACAAAACCCTAAATGAATTAGAAGAAAAAAACAAATGGAAGCACAATTTAGAGGAAAAGCACACATTGGAAAAAAAATCAGATCTTAAATTTCATAAAAATAGTATAAATTTTAGTGGATACAATTTCTTTTAAATCATATGCTGATAATCACATATCTTTGTAATAGTTTATTCAGAGATAAAATTGTCACTAGGTAACATTGCAAACATTTAATTATAAAATTAGCCTAAATTTTATTATTTATAATTTCTTCTCTATTGTACACTGTTAAGAATATATAATCNATTTTGAATAACTCGCTTTTTTGGCAGTCTTGATATGGCCTCTTTCCATAAGTTTATTACTGTTTGTTCTTGTTGCAAGCTGTGCACCATCTTACGTTAGTGTTAACACTTTTAACATTGTAAACACAAGTAATAAGTAATCAAATACATTGTTTGCATGAATCTCAAAACACAATGATGCCAAACAGCTTCAAAATCCCACGGAAACAGTAAACCGTAAATTTAGGCGGTACCAAGCTTGCAGCGTTCCCTAGTGTAGAAAACACCATCCATAGTAAAATGTAAAACAATGGCTTAACCAATCAGAAAATTCCATTTCGTTTTTCGCTCATCCCTATTTAATTAATGAATTAATATTTGAAAAAAACTGTAGTATAACCCACTACAAGTTCAAAAAAATGTATTTGAGCATGAGTGGATGAATAAAAAGTATTTTTTTAGCGATTGAAAATTTGAACAAGCTATAGGGAGAGTGTGAACTAATATTAGGAATTGAATAACAGCGTACTAAATTGATTAATAACAACAAATGATATTCAGAGTGAATATAATGCATATCAACAATAATTTTGTATCTATGAGCTTGAAATATCCTCATTATGGAAACAAAATTATTACAATTAAAATTATGATTACAATAAGTCACAATAAATCGATTCATCAAATACAACGGATGAATGGTCAAAAGCATTGATGCAGCTGACTTTACTGAAATCCGCTAAAAGCCCATTAGCAATAAGTTCAGGATAGATTAGGGAGAAACAGGTTTATATACTTTTCTATCTAGCCCCAGTTTGCTCAAGATAATTCCCCGCTTAGGTATTACAAAAATAATTACTATGTTTATTACTCAACTATTGTTGTTGAAATTATTATCTCTAAAAGAAATTCTTAAAAAATGCACTATCTGAAGGATAATGAATAATCTTGATAACCAAAAGTAACTGGGGATGATTCTTAGTCTGGAAAATCAAAATTCTTAGAAAATTGCAATTCATAATTTGAATCTTCTAATTTCATCAACAAACTATGAAAGTATAGCTTATGTTTAAATAATAGTGCTATCTATTAAATTTTTTTATTATTATAACTTTTATTATTATATATTTTACTATTATTTTTTATATTAAAGTTTTACAGTCAAATATGCACATTAAAATACTTTGTTTAAAAACTTTTTAAAAACTGCATTAATTTTTATGTAGTTTAAACTGAACTTAAATAGAAAATCATTTATTTGACATTAACAGGAAGCTAAAGGTTTGTGCAATTCCAAGGGTAGAAAAAAAAAAACTGTTCCTCTTACTATTATGAAAGTCTTATTTATAAATTACAATGTTTTGAAAATGAAAAATCATAAATAAATTAGAAAAAAATTAAAACAAATGGGAGTATAATGGGATATTAAATTTAAAAAAAATGGGAGTATAATTTAGAGGAAAAGCACACATTGGAAAAAAATCACATCTTAAAAATTGTCTAAATTTTAGTGAATATAATTTCGTTTGAATCATATGCTGATAATCACCTATCTTTGTAATAGTTCATTCAGAGATAAAATTTTCACTAGGAAACATTGCAAACATTTAATTACAAAATTTTAAAATTAGCCTAAATTTTTATTATTTATAATTTCTTCTCAATTGGCCACTGTTAAAAATATATAATCTATCCTAATAATAAATTATTCAGGGGTGAAATTTAAATTCAGTTTAAAATTGAAAAAATAGAGAGAAAAAGTAATATTTTATAATCATAACATATTAGTTTTTCCTGTCTATTTACTCTACACTACAGTTAGAGGTTAAATTAACAATAAGAAAATAATTAATACTTTATACATAATTAGCAATAAGGAAAAATAATTGAAATTCATAAATGCAGGAAACCTTTTCTTTAAAGTTAAAATTTGTAGTAAAAAGAAAACAATTTTTTATTTTATTTATAGTTCCGATTGTACCATTAGTAATTCCATAAGTCTGTTGTTTGTATGATGGCCACGGCAGTTCTTTCTCATTTTCTGGATTCAAACCAATCCACTGACGATCAGAATCTTCAATAATGTAGCGCCGCTGTGTAAGTTGGATCCAGTCTTTTAATTCATGCATTGATACAAAACCATCCTGAAATAGAGTGTGTTAAATAAAACATGATTTAGATAGAGTGATTAAGCTATAATATTAAAATTGTATCATGTTTCACAACTCCTAACATTAAAAGAAGCTTAAAAGTAACTACTCTCCCTAAAGTTAATGCAGTAGGATAATTATTTTTTGTATTTTAAGTTATTGGATAAAAACACTCAGCAAGAAATTTAAGTTTAAACTCCAAAAAATTATCTTTCATATTACATGCTGGTATGTGCACATTTCCACACATTAAAAGAAGGATTTTGCCCAAAAGAAACCTGTTTCTCCCAGTACACTGACCGAAACTGCTCAAAACTGAAGAAACTAAAAATGACTGTAGTATGTACTAAAAGTACATTTTAAACAAATTAAATTTAATAAAGTATTAGAAAATTAAAACTTTTCCACAACTACTAATTTTTAAAAAAAAACATTATGTTACATATTTTAGTTTTGCTCACAATTTTAAAACACAGCTATTATGAACACGGTTTATAGTGAACTCCCGAATATAGTGAATGAGATGTTCGGTCCCGTGCCTTGCTATACACATATAATGTTATTTTTTGTGGATATAGTGAAGTAAAAAAGTGAAGAAGTTGGATATTATGAACTTTTTCTGCCTTCCACTGATTTTTTTTCCTTCATATTCTTTTAAAATAATTTTGAAATGTCTACTTCAACATAAATATTTATACTGATTTTTAAAACCATCTATAGAGTGGAATGTAGCGATAAGCATTTTCTCTTGTTTGCTTCTTTTATCACACTTTTCCATGCCCAAACAAAGGTCTACCGAGGCAGATGCAAGGACAAAATTTTCCCTGCATCAAGACGAAGAGTAATAAAAAATAAAAGCAAGTTAACACATTATTTGTTACTACGTAATACTTTTCAGTCAATTTTGTATTTCATTTTATGGGTCATTTATTTAAATAATGTATAATAAAAAAGAGGAGTTCGGAACCATTAGTGAAAATTATTTGCAGAACGGATATAGTAAACTCCTGGTTATAGTGTACATAGACTGTACATAGGTATGACTATACATAGGTATCTTAATATTTTGTAGCCAGTTTGAATATTCATACTTAACAGTACTTAATTATAAAAATTAGTATGCCAATAATTCATTATGATTTATAATACAGTAAATGTTTAGTACATGATTTGTTAATTAAAACTTTTATTAAAAGTTCATTTTTATTATAACAGCTCTGAATTCTTACGAATTCGCTTACGACGACGAATTCTTACGACGACGCTTATGAATTCTTAATAACGAAACCTTTACCTTATCGGTATCTATTTTGTCGACAATTTTTCCAAGTCCAGCTTTACTCTCTTCAGGTGAAAGCTCGTCAAAAGTTTTTGCTTCTTTTTCTCCCAAAAATGCTTCATGGTCATATTCCACATTGTGAATTTCTTCTGGCTCATAGTGTTTTTCATCACTTAGAATCTAAAAGTGTTCAAGAATATTAAATGTTTGCAGCAGGGTTGGCAAGATTTTGCCGCAGGTGGAAAAAACCATGGTAAATACCGGTAAAAACCGTCCTGGCAAAAACAGGTTTTTGCCAAGCAAATTGGCAAAAACCTATATTTTCCAAGATGAGAGGACAAAAACACATTTTTGGTACAAAATTATTCCTAAAATTGAAATATATACTATAAATATAAATAATAACAAAAAAATTAACAAAATTATTATTCCATAATTAAATCATAATGTAACAATATATCATTTTAGTTGTTTAGAACATTATTGATGGGAAAATTTGCAATTATTCTCTTTTTTCCAGTGAAATGAACTTATTTTAAATTAATATAACTATAATTTAATGCATAAAATATCTATCAAGATGTGTAGTTAATTATTGTACAAATAATAATTTTTCATAATATAATATTATACAAATAATAATATTTATTTATTTGTAAAAAAACATTTATTTAAGGATTCTAAAATGAAAAGAGGTCAAAAACTTTAATGTTTTAAAAATTATTGCCTTTATATTATCTATTAATATGTTAAAAATAATTTTTTCATGTAATGTATCAAAATTATTATTCCTTATGATTTATTTAAATTTGTTTAAAGTATTTTGTAATAATATTTAATCAGCAATTTAGATAATTTGGTTTTTGCCGGTTCTTACCACTGTCCTGGCAAAAAACCCTTTTTGCGGCAAAAACTCCAACCCTGGTTTGCACCTAGTTAAAAGCAAAATTTAAAAACTGTATCTTTAACGATTGATCCACTATTGGAAAGTGGTCATGGTATTAGCTTTAATTGTTAAGAATCAGTTTAATCCTTTATAACAGCTTTTTATTGATAGATGCCTGCTAGCATTCGCAGTAAAGATAAACAATGCATAATGCTGACCACTTTGCCACAATCATGCAGTAGGTTTCAAGCTTATTGAGTATTAACGCCCATGGCCCTCTTTTAGGATGACTAGCTAAAGCATTAGTACTGCACAGTAATTTAATTAAAATTATTGGTTTTACAATTAAATTCAGTAGTTTATTTTCAAATTGTTCTTACATACATAGATTTCAAATTGGCAATCAAAAAAATGCATCCACAATTTTTATCTAAATTCAATTCGAAGTATTGATAAACAAAAAGTTTTAAGAAAATAAATGAGTTAAAAATGAATATTTTTAAAATTACTCGCTTTACCACAAATAAAAAGAATGAACGAAGCAAAGAAGTAAATTACAAGAAAAAAAATCTTAAAAAGGCGGGGCCGGATTAAGCGTATGTGGGGCCCTAGACCATTCAAATCTTTGGGGCCCTTAGATAAAAAAATTTTCTTGTATATTATTTATTTATTCAAATGTAAAAGTATTTATATATCTTTTCATTTAATAAAGCATATTTAAAATAAAAATAAATTAGAACACATCAAATTTTACTTTATGTTAGAACTAAATGTTAAATCTTATTATTTTAGAACTAAAAAATAATAACATTTTGAAAAATCATTGTTTTTCTTAATTTTTTAAAATTTATTTTCAAAAAATCCATTTTAAGGGGGACCCCTAATCACTGGGGGCCCTAGGCCATGGCCTAGTCTGGCCTAATGGATAATCCAGCCCTGAAAAAATGTATATAGAAGGAATAAAGATAAATGTGTTTTACTTCTCTTTTTATGCAACAAAAATAAGTCAATCCTTATTAAGTAAATTTAAATTTTAAAAATATGTGCATGGAATGAAATTAAATAGTTTTCAAACAATTAGATAATTCTTAAATAGCAAGCTTAAATTTGAAAAAGCTGCAATAAATTAAATTACTAAGGTATAAAGTTTTTAAGGTTTCCAGAAAATTAACAATTAAAAAAATGAGACCTTAGTACAATGCATATTTGAATCTAAAAAAAATTGTGGAAAGAATGAAAATAATTATTGAGACAAAAAAAAAAAAAGTATCTCAATTTAATGGAATATCAAAAATGACTATCCAATAGGGTTTCTCTACTCAATATTTTAATAATCATTTTGATATTATTCTAATGTTTACACATTCATTGCTTGTAAAAGACTAACAGTTTTTGTTTACACTTTTGAATCAAGTGACAAGGATATGAATTCCAGAACTGTTTGAAACATATAAAAAAGTATAGTGTTAATATCGAAAATTAATTTATCACGTAACAATAGTAATAAATATTTAATTTAGTAGTATTTATTTCAGATTAAGCAACGATCAATACAAATTAATAACCACACAATCGTGAATGGCTTAGGTTATTCAACACGAACTTCAAGTAGACAGTTTAAGAAAAATTGAAACCATGTAATTAATAGAACATTGTTTCTAAAAGTTAACAATAAATTAAGTGTACACTTACGTTTTCATATACTCGTTTTGATGGTCCTTCAGACTTTGGTATTACTAAACAATTGATCTGAAATAATAATGTAACAAGAAGAAAAACTTGACATTTATAACCGGACATGATTATCAACAGTCTTCAAAGGATGAAAAAGTATAGAATAACTAGATTAAATTTCGGTAGCAAAATAGGATAATAAGAGAGACAAAAAAAAGAAAAATTGAAAGAGGCGGCAGACAATTCTCCCACTCAAATTCCAAACACAGTAATGTTTTTCATATGGCAAAGCAAAAAATATAAACAATCAACACTTCAGCAGACGAATTATTTGATGTATTTGATAGCGCCATCTAGTATCTGCTTGAATTATTAGGAGAGAAAGTAACTTCATAAGGAAACTTTGCTTTATGAGTAGTGCTGCCCTCTGAAAGTTATATGGAAAGCTATAATGTGTTCACTAAAATTTTCGATGCACATGTAAACATGAAAAGTTATCTCAAGATTTATCTTGGAAAAAAATTTATTTATTACCTTTTCTTCAATTCATTCCGCCTTCAAATTTCAAAACGCTTGAATAAACTGCCGCATTTTCGAATGCTTTATCTTAAAAAGAATTTTTAAATGAACTTAGATTAAAAGAGACATAAATCGATGATAGAACATAATTTTGACACAAATTTTCTAAAGAAAAAGCGATCCGCGGTATATTTTACTCAACGAGACTTTACTACATGAGCCATCAATCAAATTTATTTATTTACAATCACGTTGGCGTCATTGGCGAGTTGATAATTTGGGATTTAACGTCATTTTTGGCAAATATTTCATCGCGAAACTGATATTCATGATGCTTTTGTTTTGTTTATGTTGCGTTCAAAATTAGTTTTGTCCTAACGTGTTTTCACTTCGATTTGGTAATTGTTCCTTTACTAAAAATTTTTCTTTTTGTTGCAAGTGTTATGATTTAACATAACTTTTTTGATTTGTTTGCACTGCAGTCATATATGGCTGTTCCTTTGCGGGTCTCTATCTTTTAAGGAATTGGTAACTAATTTTAAACCATAGTTTCTACTACAGAATGGCAACAAGGAAATGATAACGTCGGATCCATGGGCTTTTCGCATTGTGATTGGCTGTTGACTATCACTCATGGTTGCAAGAATTTGGGAAGTTATCGCGTTTATTGTGAATTAAAATAAAAATTTCAATAATTTTGTGCACGCCTGTCTGTGTTCTCGCGTAATCTCGTACTTGGTGTGATGAAACAATTGGTTCATTGATGGATTGTGTTTACATTTATTTCGTAAACAGCCACTGGAAAAGAGGAGATTTGTGTTTAAAAAAGAAATTAGGCGAAAATGTTTTCGAATTTTTAGATATTTATAAATGTAACAATAAAAATGAATGTTTTCTTTGCTATGTTTATTATTTGTTTTTAAATAAAAGTATGTCATTTTGATATTAAGAGTATGTTCTTAATACTTTGCTCTTAATACTTTTAAATTAAGTATTCTCTTATAAAAGCTTAGCTGCAATATTTATATAATTTTCTTACATTCTGTTGTAAGGAAAAGAAAATTCGGATCTAAATTAAAAGAATAATTATGCCATGTAATGTCTAATCATCCTATGCATATTTCCTAACATTTGTACTTAATTATTAAGCATTATAATTGTAACATAAAAAATAATTCTGGAGTAAAGTTCAAATTGATGTTTAAGTGTTTATATATTATGTTTATTCGACATTAAAAGTGTTTCTACTTCTAACATTTTATAAATGAATTTGTAACCCGCAGTTTTAATAAAATAAAATTATCGCTAGTTAATAAAACTATGGCAAGAGAAAAATTATCGGTAAAATTTTTATGTGGTTATCAATTATTATNATATGCATCATGCATATAAGAAAGATTATCTTTCTTATATGCATGATGCATATAAGAAATCGATATTGTTATGATAAATCAAGGTCTGAGGAAAACGGCTCTAAGAAAGCAAGCTGAAACATTTAAAATGTTTTACTGTAACTTTAATATTTTTAATTACTAGGATGAAGATTTTACGAAAATTTCTTCAAAAGTTCACAATTTCAGATGTAAGGAAATTTCATATAAGGCATCTTTATTGCAAAAATTGCTTATTGCTTTCATCGCTAAATTAAGCATTTCAGATGCGTAATAAGAAAAAAAAAATGCCGTTTCTTGAATTCCAAATGCATATAAAAAATTCTTCAGAAAGAAATCCATATTGTTACACTAATAATGAACTGTAATAGATTTGAGGAAGTGGATCTAATGAAGCATTTATACTACTGTATAAAAAGAAAATTGCCTCACTTGTTTGCCCTTTTCAGAGAAGCTGTATTAATTACTTTGTTAAGAGATTTTATTAAATCGCTTTTCGCTAAATTAAACATTTAATCAGAAAAAAGTTATAATTTTGAATTTGAAATATATATATAAGAAATTATTCACAATGGAATTGATAGTTTTATGCAAATAATAAATTAAGATAGACCTGAAAAAATAGACCTGTGAAAGCAATTAATATATAGAATTCAAAAGCGATAAAAGTTGAAGAAAAAAGTTTTTCATTATCATATGATGCGCTTTACTTTAACATTATTATTTTATTCATTTTCAATAAGAATAAAGATTTTAATGAGACTACTTCAATAGTTTGCGGTATCAAAAGTGATAAAAATTCAGAAAAACAAGTTTTATTTAATTATAATCCAATCAAATTTACTTTAACATTATTATTTTATTCATTTTCAATAAGAATAAAGATTTTAATGAGACTACTTCAATAGTTTGCGGTATCAAAAGTGATAAAAATTCAGAAAAACAAGTTTTATTTAATTATAATCCAATCAAATTTACTTAAACATTATTATTTTATTCCTTTTCAATTCGAATGAAGATTTTATTGGAACACACCTGTGGGAGTACTAGATTGGAGATCGATCCATCTCTGATTCAGAGATGGATCAAAATTACGATCTGTGATGAATGAATGGATGTATGAATGCGTCCGCCCTATAAATGGGTGTGACGTATGGTGTGGCAGAAGTCGAATTCTTGGCCATAGATGGCGCCACTGGAAAACAAGAACAATCGCACCCCCTCTGCCTAAACAGGCATACGTCAGCAACAACATTTTATTGGAACTACTTTAATAGTTTACAATTTCAAAGGTGATAAAGGAACAAGAAATCAGTTTTATTTCATAAATATAAGAATCAAAACAACGTGCAATTTGTATAACATTACTAAATAAGATATTACATAAAAGTACAGGGAAAAAAATTATTGGTGGACTCAAAATAAATGATAAGAAAATCTTCACAGAAAAATTGACATTTTTACACTAATAATTAATTTGGGTAATGGATCTACGAAAGCAAAGTATGCATTTAAAATAATTTATCCTTAGAAGGCAACAGAGAACTATTTTGTTAATACGAAATAAATTTTAGATGTTTTTGTATAGAGTTTTAAAAACTTAAATAAACATCTATTATAAAATTAGTTACAGTGAGTTGACATAAGAGTTTCTTTGTTTCTTGAACTTGCAATTTAGTACTTATAAAATTAAAATGTAATTCATATTTTAAGGCTCAAAGAGAACTTTTACTCATCTTTGTTCTGTTCTTTAGTATTTTTAATCTAATTCATTTGTTTAATCCATCATGATTGCATTTCAAAAAAATAAATAAATAATTAAATAGTTGATTTATCGAGTAAATTACAATGTCAACTTTTATCATTATTTACAACACAAAAAAAGTTGTTCGCTAGCAGCTGTTTATGCTGTTTCCATTGTACGTATTTCAATAATAAATTTAGAGTCTAATTAAACAAAAAAAATCTATAACTGTAAACGTAATAAAAAAATTTCACTTTGCTGCAGTCATACTGAGTAATACAGATAGATGTTGTTAAAAATTAAATCAAATCAGTAAAATAAATTATTTCATTTATCTATTTAATCATTTATTTAATTTACTTCTTTATTTTTGCTGAGACATTGAAAATAAAAAACTCTTCTGAAAAAACACCAAAACATGTCAATCCAATACATCCAAAAAAAAGTATTTATATTTCTTATTTATTAAAGACAATGCTCTTCACAGTCATAGAATTTAAAAATTGAATTCCAGCTTAGAGTTTCAGATCAAAACTAACTTTGAATGATATAATTAAAATTATTATTAAATTTTAAAAGAAGAATTTTGATTTTTAATATTCAAATTTGCGAAGAAATTCCCGAATCGATAAATTACTTTCAATGAATAATTTTTAATACTATTCAGATCTGATGCAATTCTAAAATTGCCTCGTAATTTAAAAAAGAAAAAAAAAGAGTTTTATGTTGTTTTTTAAATGTAACCAAGTCGCTAATATGGTGACTATATTTGTTTCTGACATAAATAACAGTAATTATTACTATCTCTGATTATCCTTTTTCTGGAAACATTTTGCTTAACCCCTCTCATATTTATGATAAGATCATATGTGAGAGGCGACGAGTATAATGCGTTACACCCTGTCCTGTAAAAACAATGATTTTTTTGTCAATAATGTTTAAAGTCATTTTTTAAACATCTTGTAACATTAAAAATTTTACTTAACAAAATAAATTAGGATCCCACTTTTGTTCGACATATTTCAATAATCAAAAACTTCAAAGAATAACATTTAATGACATTTTAGTCTTTTCTTTAAGGGTCAAGTTTCAGAAACATTTCATTCACATTTGTAACTTTTTTAAATTCTTCCTGACCTTACGTTTTTTAAAAGAAAATTTTAAAATGTTGTTTTTTTCTTTTAGATAGATAGATAGATAGATAAATAGATAGAGAGAGGAGGAGGAGAGGGGGGACAAAAAAATCTGAGAAAATTGTGTTGTATTTCCCCAAAAATCGTTTATAATGAAAGGCTTGAAATTTGTGGTTATGTATAATTATAAATTTAATTTTTTAATAATCTACATTGAACATTTAGTAATCTATGCATCATCAACCAACAACCATAAATTCCAACGTCAGGGCTTTATTGCTAGCATCCGTTGTAACACTTCAGAAATGGTGCAGGGATAATGTTCCCAGTACCATACTGTAAGATGATTTATGGATGGGAGGTCTTTTTGTGTGTTAGCGACGATTGATAAGATTTGGTTTTGAAATAGCCAGATATTATGTATATAAATACAATACACCATTTCTAACAATAAATTTATTAATTCTTTTAAAATGTCCGTGATAAATTGCAAAATTTCCTATTACTTACATAGATTTAGCTAAAAAAAAGGTTATTATTCACAAATTTATCTTTTCATAAGTCTTTATAAAATTTAATGCTTACATTTAAGCTTTATTTTTTTCTTTACAAATTTTGACAAAAATTTTCTATTTCTTATAACCAGTTATAAGTTTCTTATAACCACTTATCATCCCACTAAAAATTAAATAAGTCTAAAGAATGTTGCGACGCAGTTGCAAATAATAAATTCAGAATAAATGCATTTGATGTAGATGTAAACATAAGTAACTCAAAAAGTTAATTACTAGACAGTTATATATCGGATATCAAATTATTGCACATTTTTCTTTTAAAATTTAATGATGTTTTCTTTACATAGAAATTCATATTTTCGCTATCATAAAAAGCAATCCCTAACAAGGCAACTGTTAAGCAAAAGGTTCAATCCTGTTTCTAATGTAACATTTGTAACTATTATACTTAAGAAGTAGGTGTTTGTATTTGTACACGTATTTATAAGAAATTCTTTTAATTTAAATAAATTTAAAAAATTCAAAATAAAAATAACTATTGCTAAAACCAATTACTTTTTCGTATATTGCCTGACTGAAATAAAATTTACGAAAAATGTATTTATATTGATTGAAATTAGATGCAAAAATTTTTGAAAATAAAAAGCTTTTCTTCTATAAATAATAAAGCTGGGTCGTTGACAGAATTTGTAATCTAAATTAACTGAGCTAAATATAATAAATAAAAACTAAAATAATAACTTTTTATAAACTATTCAATAAGTTCTGCATTCAAAAATTCAGATTAATCAATTCCGTGGAATCGGAGTTTAAGAAAAATTACTTTCATTAATCTTATTGCAAATGTTTAAATTGTTACTTCTTGCAAAATTAATTTATAATCTTTAAACGTTTTTGAGCATATTTATTTTACTGAAATATTTAAAAAGAACACATAAAGCTGTTAAAACTGATAGAAAATCGAGCTTTTTATTTTCTGGAAAAGCCAAAACGTTATGATTAAATGAAAATAAATAATATTAATAACGGTAGTATAAATCAGCATTTAGATTTTAAAAAAAGGGAGGGGGGAATTATATAGTAGTGCTAAAGAAAATTCTTTAGAGGAATGTAATGTTTCTATTGTTTTTATTTTACTTTGTAACTCATTCTAATCACACCTTTAAGGTGATCTTTCAGAAATATTTCTTATTTTTACGAACTTTGAATTTATGATTTGAACTATCCACAAGCTATGATATATAGCTATGATTGAATTCAGTACTTGCAGGAAGATGTAATTTCTAATGAATTTTAGACATTACTACATACGTGCATGTTACTTTCGATTAGTATCTCATGTTGACCTCTAACATGTTATTTGTAAGTTTTTGTGATGCACTATAGTAGAGAGATTGTGCATCCCTGTGTTGGAATGCCCTATAAATACTAAAATAATTTTTTTTTGTTGCCAAATTTATTGGATCAAAAAATATCTATCCTAATTCAATGTATTTAGACTTTAAAAGTATAGCTGTAATAATTTATGTAATTAAAGAGTCATTTTGTGTAATAATATTTAAATAAGAAAATTTTGAAATTTCAGCGTAGAAGCTGGGGTCCAAAATGTTTTACTTCGCCATATTGGAAATGATCTTAGAAACATAGCCAATGACTTTGAAAGGTTAGTTTATTAATTCATTATTTGATAGTCACAACTTGATGGGTTTGAGTCTTTTTGTAGATTTAATCTAATAGAACTATCTGTTTTGCAATTTTAAAATTTGAGAGGTCTAGTCGAAATATTCTTGCTCTGCAGTCATATATGGCTGTTCCTTTGTATGTACCCTCTGGGGAAATAAACTTCGGCCAAGCTTTATTCCATGATTTTGTTCATGAAGAATTTGAGCAACAGGGATTAGATGCTGCTGCTGTTATTGATAACTCAAATGAAGATATTGTCAGAGAACATATGGCTATGGCACAAAATCTTATGAATGCTGAGATAGATGGGTAAATTTAATGAATTGTTAAAAAATATTGTATATTAAATAACTTTTGATGCAATTTTTTGTTCTCTAATCTTTTCAGATTGTGGCCACTTTGCAAAATTAACATTTTTCAGTTTCTTTTCTCGTAATTTTTCTGGCATTTAATATTTAAACCGTTTCTTGTGTAATGCAAAAATTCATCCGCATTGCCACGACAGCCCTTTGTGAGCCTGGGCCTTCCTCAGACGCTTTTCCCATTCTGCCCTTCTCCCAGCAATTGTTTCCCAGTTCTTTACTTTTAGGATGGCAAAATCCTCATCCACACAGTCCTTCCATCTCTTTTTGGGCCTTCCTCTTGGCCTTTTATTGGAGGGGGTTGCATTAGAGACTCTCAATGCTGTTCGTTCTGGGCTCATTCTCACTACATGCCCGGTCCATCGCATTCTACTTAATTTAATAGATTTAATGATATCATCGCCATCAAAGATTCTATATATTTCAAAATTATATCGTTTCCTCCAGTTGTCGTTATCGAGTATAGGGCCAAAGATGGTTCGTAGGATCTTCCTTTCGAAGGTTGCTAATAAATTCTCTTCCCTTTTTGTTGAAGTCCATGTCTCTGAAGCATAAGTCAAAACTGACTTGATTAATACCTTATAAAGTAAGATCTTAGTCTTTCTTTTAATTAAGTGAGATTTCAATAATGATCTTAAACCATAGAAGCAGCGATTGGCTGCGATTATTCTTTTTTTGATTTCAGGATTGATGTCATTTTGATAGTTTATTTCTGATCCTAAATGCAAAAATTAGACACATTTAATCTAAAATGTAAGATAGTGTATGTATAATCCACAAGCTAGCATTGTCTGGCCGGGATAGCCTGGTTGTTAGGGCACTGGACCCATGTCCTAGAGTTCGTGGGTTCGAACCCCTGCCGGCCGAAGACTCTCCGTGTGGTAAATGGTGACTAGTGCACTTTAAATCTGTCGAGTCGCAAAGTCCTCCATGTTCCCATAACAAATCAATACCTCTGGGGGTACTGATCAGGAGTTTCCTTGTCTTCTGTATTAGGTTCAAAATTACAAGGCTACGGAGTTGAACATTAGTAGTCGTTTACCCAAAATTGGGTCTGCTCTTCAACGACGGATATAAGATATAAGCTAACATTGCCTCCTAGGCATTGCATAATGCTAATTAAAAATGTATTAAAGAAAAACTATTTCACAAATAGTATACAAATTAAGATAATGTCTTTTTTTTCCCAACTGAAACAAAAAGCTGTGTTAGAAAGTTTTTATTTTTAATTGTTCATCTTGCTCTTTTATTCACTCATAGTCTTAGTGTAAGCACTTTGTAACCATTTAGTTTTATATATGACTATGATTTAATTCACTACTTGCAGGAAGATGTAATTTCTAATGAATTTTACACATCACTACATACATGCATGTTACTTTCGATTAGTATCTCATGCTGGCCTAACATGTATTTTTTGTATATTTTCGTGTTAGAATGCTCTATAAATACTAAAATTATTTTTTTTTGTTACCGAATATATTGGATGCTATCAAAATATATATATCCTAATTCGATGTATTTAGACTTTAAAAGTATAGTGGTAATAAGTTACGTAATTAAAGAGTCATTTTGTGTAATAATATTTAAATAAGAAAATTTTGAATTTTCAGCTTAGTGGCAGGGGGCCAAAATGTTTTACTTCACAGTATTGGAAGGGATCTTAGAAGCATAGCTAATGACTTTGCTGACAGTCCCCAAAGAGGACAGATTAAGCAATGCGCAAATTTAGTATGTATTATTTTGTTTTCTTGCCAATGTTGTTTAATATTCTCTGCTGAATTTGAGTTAGAAATTTTGAATTTATAGAAATATTTTTTTACCCCTCTTATTTATTCATATAATTTTATTAAAGTTGCATGTTTGTTTCTTGTTTACTTATTATAGTTTACTTATTATAGTATATATTTTAAAATTTGTTAAGAAAATATATGAATTTTCTAAAGAAAACAAGCGTTTTTAAAAAGTGCTTAAAGGTGCTTATTTTCGTTTTTTAAAAGCCTTTAAAGATGCTTTTTTCCATGGGTGTTTTTAAAAAGTGCTTAATTTTCCCTTTTCCGAAATGTGATATTTTTCTTTTCCATGCTGATTTTCGCCACAAATTATGCAAAAAGACATTGTCCTATTCAACGTTTCACAATTAATTCAGCCCCAATCTATTTCGGCTTACCGCCGGTGTATGGAAGGACCATTACATGTTTGATGAAATACTTGCGGGTCCACACTTGCGTATTCTGAGCTGGATTCAGTGGTAAGGATTTTTGACTCTCATGTGCAACCCTGCTGCATTTTGCAAGAGATTCTCAATTTCAGACTTCATTTTCCGCTCTCTGTAATAGAATCGAAAAATCTCTCAAATTTTTGCTGATTACGGGAACCAACTAAACACTGCCAATGTTTTTTTCTCTATCAGTGATAGAATTTCTCTTGTTAATTTCGTCGTTTGTGACACGCCATCGTCTTTGTCACTGTAAATAATACCGGATAAAACCATCAATTGTCAAAAACTTGCCAACCCCGTCTTTGATGATAGTTTATGATAGTTTTCAAAGGGCTTAAAAATATTTTTTGAGTGCTTGAAAAGTGCTTAAAAGGTGCTTATTTTTTGTTGAAAAATTTGGCTACCACGTCCTAGAAAATGGCTCACTTGATAAAAAAGTGCTACTTTTTCTCTTCATATTCTTGTATTCGTGCGCGTTTCCCCTTGTATAAAATTCCATTTATTCAAACAGCTCTTGATTTTATTATCAGTGGCGTACGCAAGGGAGGGCTTTAGAGGTTTAAACTCCCCCCTTGAGCTCAGACAAAATGGTAAAAATGAAAATTTTAGTAGAATTATGCGGGCTATTATTTTTTGAGACAATATATTTTTATTTCCCTTATGCCAATTTTATTTTTCTCACGGTATTTCTCAGAACACTGAAAAAACATTTACTATAATACGGTTGTACTTTTGAAACCAAATTCACGTTATACTGTTACGGACTGGTTTCTTTCTGTGCTGCCAGTCGCGATAGTTTTCGAGACGGGATTTCATTTGCGAGGTCTTTACGCGATGATTCTGGAATCCTACACGTTCTGTCGTGTTTGAGACAATTCGAGAATTTTGGAGTTGCGGTGAAAATTTATATAAAAGAGGGAACGGAGAACAGTGGCGTTAGTTAGTCAGACTAAGAGTTATCTCTGCCGTTTGTCTTTCGGAGTTCGTTGCTANTATTCGTGCGCGTTTCCCCTTGTATAAAATTCCATTTATTCAAACAGCTCTTGATTTTGTTATCAGTGGCGTACGCAAGGGAGGGGTTTAGGGGTTTAAACTCCCCCCTTGAGCTCAGACAAAATGGTAGAAATGAAAATTTTAGTAGAAATTATGCGGGCTATTATTTTTTGAGACAATATATTTTTATTTCCCTTATGCCTACTTTTTTTTTTCTCACGGTATTTCTCAGAACACTGAAAAAACATTTACTATAATACGGTTGTACTTTTGAAACCAAATTCACGTGATACTGTTACGGACTGGTTTCTTTCTGTGCTGCCGCGATAGTTTTCGAGACTGGATTTCATTCGCGAGGTCTTTACGCGATGATTCTGGAATCCTACATGTTCTGCCGTGTTTGAGACAATTCGAGAATTTTGGAGTTGCGGTGAAAATTTATATAAAAGAGGGAACGGAGAACAGTGGAGTTAGTTAGTCAGACTAAGTTATCTCTGCCGTTTGTTTTTCGGAGCTCGTTGCTAAATCTGATTTGTTTTGTCTTAACAAAAAGTTCATTCAATCGCCGAACCCGTCGTCGTCGTTATTTCGACTAGTGAAGAAATCAGTAACAATACTATTGGAGATACTGAGCTCGTTGAAGTTATTCATTCCAGCTCGAAGCTTTAAGATCGTAGCATAGCGGATATTTCTGTGCCAATATATATATATATTTGCACTTGGATCTTTAGGATGTCAAAACGCAAGAATTTAACAATTTAATTATTTTGAGAAAAAATCATGACCTGAAATTAGTGAGGTGACAGCATCTAGTACCAATGTAAGTTTTTCTGTTGAACAGAAATGTGACACTTCCGTTGAAGAAAACGTTTCTAGCTCATCAAAATCTGATGAATGTGAAAGTGGCGCTCAAAGTGTTACTTCCCACCCATATGACATTGGACTTTTTTCAGAAGATATTACATGCGAGAAGATATTACATTATGTTCTTAAACTTAAAAAAATCAAATTAAAATTTAACTAAACAATGTTATCTAATTAAAAAGTCAAATTATCTAGCTGTCTAAATTAGGGAAATAATAGTGCTTTATTACATACTCGAATTTCTTTTAGTAGTTTCAGAAAATCATGAACACCCCCTTGAAAAAATTCTGCGTACGCCACTGTTTGTTATACTTATTCCAGTTTCATATTTGGCACTCATATTTTACTAATCATTTTTAGGTTGACCTGGAAGCATCTACTTTTGAAGGATTTTGGGCTTTACTGGAAGAAGTATTTAGACATGGTATCAATGTTTATAATATAGTTGCCTTGTTTTACTTTTGTTCTGATATTCTTATCAGATCTGTAAAAATGGAATTGGCAAGAATTGGAACAAATTTGTTTAGATGGGCTCTACTGTACATATCTGAACAAGTTTGCAGATGGGTTTATGAAAATGGTGGTTGGGTAAGTTAATTACTTTTATGTTTAATATGAATTAGTTTAGTGGCGTAAGTTTAATTCCGGCTTTAAAAAATTGAGTAATGTGATAGCTATTTCAATCGACCCATATTTTTATTACTACTACGCGTGCTCCCAAACTTCTCTTCTTTCGCAAATTGTTCTTAGTCTGTTATAATCATCTTTAATATATTCTCCTAGTTGTTATCCATGGTGATAAAAGCATTTTACCTGGTGAAATATTATTATTTAATACTTAGATCAAAGACAAATATTATTATTGTATTATTATAGTTGTAGATATGATTATTATTTGAGGAAGATTTTCATATTAAGATCTGTGGCAGAATAATCGCCAAGTCTTGGCAAATTCCGGGCGACGACCCGTAAGAAGCTAATTGAAATATAATTGAAATACAGTTAGAGACAAACTCGACAGGTATAACTCATAGCCATCCCCAGACAAACATCTAATTTTTTTTTTTTTTTTTTTTAAACTTTTCTGTTTAAAATCAATTTGGCGTCTTGGCGATTCTAGTTGGCGGGGCAGATTACATTACGAAAATAGTCGCTGTAAAGTATCTACCACTACAAAAATATAATTCCAATTCACTAGTATATAAGACATGTTAACTCGATCCTATGTTGGGGTACCTTTTCATGGATGAAGGTTGACTTTGTCGATATCTTCTCTCCCGACATTGGTGACCTTCTGACGTGATATGAACACGATTTCCTTGTTAGATTTGAACACGCCTACTTCGATGGATGGCCCACATTGAACCGTTGACTTGCTACTTGTGACTGCGACATTATCCGCATCATCATGCTGTTGCTACTCAGTTTCGATCACGCATAACGAACGACAACTGCTAATGGCAACACAGGAGCGACCACGACTGTGATCTTAATAAAGTTCTCCCGGCTCCTCGCAGAAACAGCAATGAATCAACTAGTGGTATCCGTTCATTGAATTCTATCACAAATATAATTCTGGTGGGGGAGTACTGTAGTGTATCTACCACTACAAAAATGTAATTCCAATTTATTAGTATATAAGACATGTTAACTCAATTCTATGGTGTAGTACCTTTTCAAAGATGAAGGTTGATATTGCCGAATTGTACTTTCCCCACAGCCCCTATTTTATTTTAAATGTTAGTTTTAGAAATAAGTATTTCAAAATTAAAATTTTGCCAATTGACCAAATTTACATATAATTGCAGGATTGTTAGCAGTGAGGTGGGACATATGAGGTTTTTATCATGGTGTATACTGCTTTAGGAAAACCTATCTTTCCTCTGATTTTTAGTGACTAAAAAAGTATTTTTTACCCATACTTTTTGCTATTTGGAAAAAAATATGTTTCCGCTATGGTTTTTACCATTTTTTAAAAAAAATTATTATTGTTTCTGCCTTGTTGCAGAAAGTTACCGAGTTCTTGTAGAGAATAATTTTCTTTGGGAAGTAAAAAAATTAGCTTTTCTTTTCTGCAGAAAGTTTTGAAAGATTTTATCTTATCTTCAGAATTATATTCAAAATATGCCTTTCTCGCCCATCGGATTGGGGGAAAAATGCTTGTGATTTTTCTATTCTCATTTGAGAATAATGAAGTAAAAAAATTTTTTTTTCTGCTGTTATTATTACTGATTTACACGTAGCTTTTAAAATCCGATATTTTTATTGCAATATTATTCATTACAACAGCGGAATCTCAAAATGAAAACGCGCATTTAGTAACCACTTTTGAAGAGCCCAATTCGTGGAACTTCATCGTCAATCTCTTTTTCGGTAGTTACTGCTACAGATTTCATGATTTATTTTTAATGTGGTGATGAATTTCAAAATGCGAAAAAGAAAATAATTATTGTGTTATCTTCCTGCTAAATGTGAGAATATCGCCCATAATTTTAGAATAGTAAAAAGTATTACATATTCAATTTAAAAAATTATTTTTTTATTTATTTTTTTGAAGCTAACGCTTCTGTTACTTTAAATTAGTGATATGAATATTTGTTATTTTTAAGTATCTTGCAGAAAGATATTAACCAGAAAACATGTAACCTTAGAGCAACATTGTGTACATTTCTTAGTTTGCTTAATTTTTACCTACTTTCTCCCTAGAAAACATTTAACCTTACGACAACCTTGTATCGGAATTTTCTTTTTATTATCATGAAAATGTTTGTACTAAAAACCTTTTTTCAATAAAGGAAAAATATTGCAGTTTCAAACATTTCATCCTAAAAGGATTAAAAAATTTTTTTAAAGTTTTTTTAAAAAGCATTGTCACTTAAGTAAAATGGTCACTTAGGCTCATAGTGAAGTTAGGCTCGCAGAAAATGCCGTTCATGGGTTAAATTTAGTAGGAATAACACAACCTGTGACGTAGGCTATAGTATACCCAATTAAATTATATGTGTATCAAAACAAACTAAAAAAATATTTATAGAAAAACAATACTTTTATTATTTTTATGCTAGTGAGAACCAAAACAATATGGAAATGAATGAGGGAAAACTGGATCCTACCACGTGATTTCCCGTCCAATAAAAATGTAGCGTTAAACGTTTAACGCAACCTTGTTGGAAGTCGCATAAGAAGTAGAACTTCAAAAGGTTTTTTCTGAGTTAAAATAAACCTTATTTTGCTATCTGGGACTACCGTGAATAACGTTTGATCTAATGATCAAATCTTATAAGTTCTAAGACTGAATCTTAATAGTTCGAGAGGGTGACTTAAAATATGATAATTAATTTAGAGCAGACGACGTTGTAAGTTACAAAATCGAACACGAAAACATTCAGATTTTTCGTTCGAAGGGATAGCCGCAATCTGGCAATCGAATCTTAAAAATACGTATCGAAAATACTATATCGAATTTTAAAAATACGACTGTTTTAAAATTTGATTTCTCAGACTCTCTTCAATTGCTTTGGTTAAATTTCATATTTTGCCATGTAAAATTACATTCTTCAAAATGATGTCAAAAATTGTATACCCATAAAACTTTTTTTGACTCTTATTAAACAATATAATAAAAAATAATAAATACTTACTAAAACTTACATTTCGCATGGAGTTTTCTTTGTGTAAAAATTTTTTTTAATTGCGTGCAAAAAAATTTCAATTTGCTTAAAAAGTTCTCGAGATATGGCGAAATACGCTAAAACTAATACTAACTTTAAGGTGTTCAAACTTTGAACGGCTCTCCTGACCAAACCATTGGAATCCTATTTCCCAGATTGCAGCTATCCCTATATTTTTGGGATAAAAAATCTGAATCCTTCGCAAAAAGATATGTTTATTCAGAAAAAGTACGTTTTTGTGTCTCATTTTGTAACTTAAAATATTGCCAGAACTGATTAATTAGCATATTTGAGGTCACCCCCTTGAACCTTTAACATTGAGAATTATAGAACGTGAAAAGCTGATCATCAGATCAAATGTAATTCAGAAGACTCCCTTCAGAAGAGAAGAAGATTCAGAAGACTAATTTTTAGATTCGTTATTACCTTTTTCAAGCCTTATAAAATATATTAGTTTCTCGGGTTTACAGGAATCAAAAATTGACATAGATGAAATTTTTAAAATGTTTGAGGACAGTTAGACCTTGTTTTTTTAAATTGAATTAAACCCAATTCTTTCATTGAAATAGCGAGGGTTTATTTAATCAAATTAAGTCATATATCTTAGTTTTCAAAAATTTCTCGTTTTAAATTATATACTTATATTTCAATGAACATTTTTTAAAACTATTTAGTTATATGAATCAAAACATTTTGATCTATGATATTAATATTTGTTTATGAATAGTATAGTGACTAAAAGATTTTTCAAAAGTGAAGTTATTTAAAAACATTCAATATCTTCCATGAACTTAATACATAAATTTATATTTAGAAGTATCATTAAGTTAGAATATAAGCTTATGATTTTGTCTAATATACTATGATATAAGTATTCTCTTCTTATTTTCAAGCTACTGAAGCTGTTGTGGCACTCTTTGTTTAAAGCCTATCCACCGCGTCAAGGTGGTGCCACATCGGATAGGGTCGGTTTTTAATTGTCCTGCCAAAAACCGTATAAAAAGCAGATAGTGATTCGATTTTTAATTGTCCTTCGGCCAAAAATCGTGTAAAATGCAAGCAATATTTTGATTTTTAATTGTCTTAAAGCCAAAAATCACAGAAAAAGCAACTGCAAGAAAAGGTCCGGACACAGCGTAACCCTCAGAACATGCTGATGCTACTTATCACGGACATCCAGAGAGATTAAATCAATCTCTCTGGGCCATACAGAACAGTTACTCTGTCTGGCTCAGAAAATCCAATTGCCAGTGAACAATGTTCACCCTGTCCAACGTTTTGCATTGAACAGCAATTGAATTTGGAAAAGAACTTGCAGATCCTTCTAAACCACTTCATAATGCCAGTGGGTATTTAAAACGCTTTTTTTTGAAAAGAACTTAATAAGAACAAGTTGATCGCACCACTATCAAAATGGAAATGATTGAAATAAAACAATGTTTCGTTATTAATCTTGTAACAATTAAATTAGAGTACTGTTGGTATGGAAAGACGGAAGATGTATTTAAGTAACGAACGTAAACAATGAGTAAGCTAATTGTTAAAATGAACTGCAAGTTAGAATTGTTTTATTCTTGAGCACAAGCTTGGTGTGCAAATGATCAGTTCCAATGAAATAGGAAAACACTTTTAAAAAAATTCACTCTTTTTATAGGAATAAGCGTTCGGGACATAATTCTTTTAATGCAATAAAAACTCGATGTAACGAAAGCAGCATATAACGATAAATTCATTATTACGACTATTCCAATAATTCATTAGTTTCCGTCAAAATATTAGTATTAAATATACAAAAATTGTATATTTAGGACAAGTAAGCCCCCTTTCTTGACAAACTTTTTTAGGGCGGGACATTTTTCTGCCGTTTATGTGAACAATCCTAGTTGAGAAAGGAGAATATATGGAAGGCAACTTTAT